ATAAAGAAGTACTTAGGTAGGTTTCGCCGCCAAGAAACGGCTTTCAGCGTAGAAATATGTATGTCAATAAGCCCATGATCAAGAAGCCGTGAAACATGGTATGGTTGTTTGTGGCTCTTCCACACGGGCAGTGTATACGTTCCGAAAGCGTTGTCGTCTATTCGTAGGTTCTAGTGATTATTTCCCAACAATTAGAAAAAGGCAGTGCTAATCTCTAGGGAGCCTTTACTAGGCATCTCTAAATGTCTAATCAGAAGAGTAAGCCTTGAGATAAATGGAGACTTTGCCATTGTCAACATCGTATCTAAGGTCAGCCGTGCCGATAGCACCCTCATACGTTGTATACCATGTATTATGAGACGCACAGAAGGTACGAATTATTTGCTATCGAGTTCTGCTACGACAGCATGCCCATGAAAGCTCGCATGCGAGCCTTGGGCGAACATACCACAATAAAGACAGATTGAGCAAACACGACAATGGATCGACATAGACGCTGTGGCACCCGGCGTGGATGCGATCGAAAAGCAGACAATAGAGAAGCCACAGCGAGTGCTCACGACTCTGCGTGACCGAATGGCTGTCATGCTAGGGCCAGTAAATTCTTAAGTGTGTGGAGTTGATGGTAAGCAGGATGCTGACTCAGTATGTGGATAGAAGAAGCACGGACTGACGTCGTGTAATGAACTTTTCGCGGCAAACAAACTAACGGCTCGCACACTTTCAGTATCCATCCTGTCACAACATCTCGATCTCTTTACTTCTCTCTAGGTCTTCCTGTGGGGTTTATTTTGTATGTACGAATGAAGATAATGAAACTAGTTTCACGCTCTCTTCCATCTCGCACATTTGCTCTTGCTCGCCTCATTCCGTCGCGCCTGTCTCTAGCAACTAATATAAGATATAGCCACACCTCAACAGTCGTCCCCCTCACTCAACACAGACACTACACCCGACTTCCAGCACAACCCTCAGTCATGTCTGCACCACCCAAGCGCAAATGGCCTCGCGGCCGAGGCGGCGGCGGTGGCGGCGATCGTGCGAACGGTGCCCCTGGGCGCAGCGGGCCCACGAATCCTCGCTCAACCATGTCGCAGCAGCCAAAACGTCCCAGAGTTGAGGATTCGCAGGCGAAAGCCGAAACCGGTGTCGACGTGCGGCAGATGTACAGCACCGCGGCTGGCGATGCGGCACCGAAGCCTTTTTCCGATCTGAAGAACAAGCTGAATCCAGCCTTGCTGAATGGCTTGGATAAGATGGGATTCGAGTAAGCAGACGTCTTTACACATTGCTCTTTGACGGTGCCGTTGCTAACTGTTGCAGGTTCATGTCTCCAGTCCAACAAAAGGTCCTCACCGAGCTACCCACACTATCCTCCGACTGCGTTGTACAGGCAAAGACAGGTACGGGCAAGACCGTGGCCTTCCTGCTCCCTGCGATTCAGAACCTCCTAGCGGGTAATATGCCTAGAAGAGGCAAGGTCGCCATTCTCGTCGTCTGTCCCACGCGCGAGCTGGCTCTACAGATAGCGAAGGAGTGCAATGGCGTTACAGCATGTCTGCCCCAGAAGATGGAGTGCCACACTGCGTTTGGCGGTACTTCTCGTGCCTCGAATCTCAAAGCCTTCATGAATGGTAATCCTACCGTTCTGGTCGCCACCCCTGGTCGTCTTGACGACATCCTAGGCGAAGAGCAAGTTCGCGAGAAGTTTTCTGATTTGAAAACGGTCATCCTCGATGAAGCGGACCAAATGCTTGATGCCGGATTTGCACCTGCGGTCAAAAAGATCCTGAGGCGCATCCCACCAAAGAACGATGGCTGGCAAGGAATGTGTTTCTCTGCTACATTGCCCAAAGAAGTTCTCGATATTGCCAAGATTGTCCTGTTCCCTGGTTACACACACCTCTCGACAGTCGACCCGAACGAAGTGCCGACCCACGAGCGCGTACCGCAATTTTTCTACTCTGTTCCCACTGTTGGTCAAACTTTCCCTGCGTTGTCGGCTTTGATCGAAGAGGAATACAATCAGAACCCTGCCGACTTCAAGGCCATTGTCTTCGGTACCACCGCGAACGGCGTTGGTCTACTCTACGATCTATACAGAAATGCGCTGCCGCAGTTTAAAATGTTTGAGTTGCACAGCCGCATGTCCCAGCCTGCTCGTACGCGCACAACTCAGGACTTCAAGGATGCTCAAAGCGGCATTCTGTTCGCATCTGATGTTGTCGGTCGAGGCATGGATTTCCCCAATGTTGGTCTAGTTGTCCAACTGGGTCTTCCCTCAAGCACTGACCAGTATGTTCATCGAGTTGGCCGAACGGCTCGTGCAGGCAAAGATGGGCGCGCTGTTCTCCTTCTCTTCGAGCAAGAAGCCTTCTTCCCCAGGATCAACAAGACGTTGCCCATCAACCCTTACCCTGTCGACCTCGTATCACGTCTTCCCTCGCACCAGGCGAACATCGACCGAGCTTTCGTTAACGTCGATGAAGTAGCCAAGTCAAAGGCGTACCAGGCATTCCTTGGTTACAACAAGACTTTCGTCAAGAAACTGCAGATCAGTACAGCGGATTTGGTTCGTCTTGCAAATGATTATGCGAGGACGATGGGCTGCCCAGAGCCGCCTATGTTGGAGAAGTCGACCGTTGGAAAGATGGGCTTGAAGGGAGTACCAGGTCTAAGGATTGGGTCCCGAAGGTGATCTACCCTGTTAGACCTTTAGAGGAATGGTCACACGCCGACATTTGATCACGTACTTTGTTTGAATTCTACACATAGACCATATGAAACTAGACGCGGCGGTTGAGTCTATCGAGCACTGTTGGTGGGAATAAAGGATAGACCATTTCGGTGCATTTGTACCTAGATACCCAATTTCTTCACTTCAATTATATCTTAACTGTCGTTCTCCACAACATGGGGTCCTGTCGCTCGTAGCGACTCTCGCGCCTTCTTCATACCTCCTTGTTGAACAAGTCTCTAATAGGAATGACAACGCGGTTTGGTGCCCGGAGACTTTGGTTCTTGTCCGTCGCATGTAAGACACGTTCATAGCACTGCACAACAATGGAAGAGCATGGTGTTCCCGTAACATTCATACTTTTGAGAGTACAAAGCCTTGCAAATTGCGCCTCATGCGTCTTCACGTTACCTTGGATGTGACACAGCTGATGTAATATCAGTTCGTTGCTACGATTGATCTGCCTCACGAACCTTTTAATATCACAACTCAAACGACGATAGCTTCCACCAGCACAAACCTGGCCATTGATACTGTTTTCCCACACGCATCATGTTTGTCCAGCGTCAGCAGGCTCCAGGCCTTCCCATTTCACATCTACGCCTTGTAACGAACTCCACTTAATCTTAAATCTTCACTTTGCATCACTTAGGCAGCATGATGATTTCAACACGAAGATCACGTCAAGACTCCTACAAGCTTTTGGTCCAGTGAACATGGTGCGAATTCCAGCCTTGGGCGCAAGTACATCAAACGCCCTGGACATTGGGCACATGACACCGTCAAATACACTAGGGATACATACCTAATCTCATGCTTGACAATCTAACCCAGCGGCTCCAGTCCTCTTCCAATCGCGACATCTTTAAGTATCCTTGCCCTACCTGACCCTGCAGGCAGTCCCATGCAGAACGAGAATGATATTTACGGCCGAAGCAATGGAATTGTATGTAGGTAATAGGAAGGGTCAAGAAATGTCCCGACAGAGCATGTTTTTAAGTTTAGTAAATGGCCGTGTGAGCGATTTAGTGTTTGACATGTTCGTGTACGCTTTAAAGCATGACTGATGGGCATACCGTTTGGAGATATATCAACTGTGCAATTAGGTGAAAAGATCAGAATGAGAGGATGTCGGGTTACCAGGCAGGTAAGGCTGTAAGAGATAGACTTTCGGTAATCGCACATGTCACTCATTTTCCAACGTTCTGGGCTCTGGCAGTATCTGGCTCAAATCTTGATGGGTTAGACTTTGGCCTCACGGTTTCACAACGGAGGATTATCAAAATGCAATTTTCGTGATTGGTTATAGAATTGTAATTCCGTGGAGTACCGGCTACAACTTGGGCTCCGATCAGACAGGTAACGTCGGGCGGGTGAGCTACGGACGAAGTGAGGCAAGCTGCGAAAACGACCAGCTGGCGGCCCTCCACTTTAGAAATACACTTCCCGGCCGGGTTATACAAACCTGTTTGCAGGTTCAGACGCGTAGAGAACAGACACTGTTGAGGTCGAAGTTGCGGCTACCCGCTGATCACCATGATGAGCCGTCCGCCCCACGTTGCTAATCACGGAGGAGGCTCCGCATCGTGATCTGTAAAGACTCGCTTAGGAGGTTATTAATGGAACCACAGACGTTTGTTGACGGCTGTCTAGCCCGGACCAGAGCGTTGCGCCTTTCAACAGGAGCTGAGCCGCAAGGACAAAGATCTTTGGTACCGAACAAGAGAGAAGTGGTGAGCTAGACATGTGTAAATGGGTACTCCGGATACGGTACATGCGTGATGATTGTTGGGTGGGGTACAGTACTGGGGTAAGCTGACACGGAAGCATGGTAGCGAAGGCTTCCTCGCATCAAGACGGCATGCTCGGAGCGCACTACGACGAGTTACCCGTTTTTCACGTAGTGAGCCAAGATGAGTTTTCGCGCATGTAGTCGACCAGATGGCATTTCATCTCCTTTGCGAGTTCGCGATCGCGATGCAGGAGGAGTTCCGTGCGCTGGAGTTGAGAGATCGAAATGAGGTGTCTGTGGTAGTTTGTGTGGACGCGTCTGGACCGCGAGGGCAGCTATGCAGCGTGGACAGCGTGCCCCTAGGGTGTCGGCCTGTGGCTTTAGTGGTTGAGCTGAGCTGCACCTAAGAACCAGGGTGCCGTTTGTCGAGTTTCATGCGCCCCTAGTGTTCGGATCAGACTGTGCCACTGTCTGGCACTCGATAGGCTGTACAGCACGCCCGGGACATGTCCCCTAGGCATACGAAAGCTGTTAACCACCGGCTTGTAGAGTACTCGGCGTCGACGAATCTGTTGTTTCACCGGCGCGTTGTGCAGGCGCTTGCAGGGCGGAGGCTTCCCCAGGCGTGGCCGCAGGCGTTGGATTCGACATGTCGCGGCGGGCAAAAGCAACGGGTTCCAGATGGGCGTCAATGGTAGCAGCAGCAGCCTTACCGGTGCACGCCCACTGCAAACAGCTGGCTAGTGTAATGCCGGCACGAGGTTGTCCCTGGGCGAGATGGGACATGACGTGCGATCGATCAGAGGGAACGCGTGCTCGGACGGCCTCATTGGTCGCGCTCCCTTGCTCCTTCCTTGCAGGTGCGTTTGCGGTGGCAGCCAAGGAAGGTGCGCTGCAGCTGCCTCCAAGCCTGCCTACTTGCTCTTGTCCTGCCCGCTTTCCTCTCCGCGGTCGAGTAGCAGGCTAAGACGCTCCTCTTCCTGTCTTCTTGTTTCAGCGTCCTCTTCGCGTCTTTGCATCTCTCCTGCCCCAACCCTCAATTTATCTGTTATCAGAAGAAAACGCACACCGCCCTCCCGCTGCAGATCCGGCATTACTGTCGTCAGAGGTTACTTTTTAGCGCCCTTAAGCGAATTGCTCCGCTGCCTCATCGCATCAGCACAGGTTAGATAGCAGCCCACACCCCCTCAAAGGAGCTCCTTTCTCACAGAGTCACGTAGAATTGCACCGCACATGACAGGCAGCCTACTCCCTCCGACAATTGCCAGCCCACACCTGGCCGCCGACTTCACCACCCACTTGGCCCTCGTCACCGCAATCTTAGTCAACACCGCACCCGCCGACCGTGCTTAGTCGCCTCGACGGACCCATTTTGCATTTCTAAACGCGACTTCACGCGTCAAAGCGTCTGGAGAGACTATACAAGGCTGTTGGTGCCCTTGTAGCTGAGTCTCGCCATGGCTGCAGCGCGTCGACAACCTTCCATGCAGATTTTTCAGGACCCTGTGCAGCCTCACGACCACCACCAGATCAACGCCTTTGACCCACGCTACCTCGACGCCTTCACGTCCATCACCGACGTGTCCAACAACTCAAACACGCTCCTCGCCCCTCCCGCGCCCTTCACCGCCAAAGCATCGCCCCGCAAGACCCGCCAAGTCTCCAGTTCTCCTCCACCCAGCGCCCTCGTCGAGAAGGGCCTCAACACCCTCAAGATCCCGCCGCCGCAAGAGCAGTGGTTTCGCACCGACGCGCCCACCAAGAAGGCCCAGGCTGCGTCTTCGCAGGACTCGCACCCAATGGTCGGCGATATTCAGTACTGGTCCGGCTATCCCTCCCACATGGACAAGGAGAACGCGTATTATTCCGGCCCAGTCATGTCCACCCTGTCAGCGGCAGAGCCGCTCATGAAGCAAGGGAGCAAGCGACCACTTATGGACGCTGCCCCATTACGCGATCGCACCAACATGAACATCAGCAAGAAACAGAAGTTCGTCAAGGACATCAAGATCGAAGAGGTAGACGGGCCGCTACCCAACCCAGACCAAATGCCCACTATCGAGGACGACGGAAACAAGCCTTCTTACAGCTACGCGATGCTCATTGGCATGGCCATTCTAAGAGCACCGAGCCGTCGATTAACCCTCGCCCAGATCTACAAATGGATCTCCGACACATTCGCCTTCTACCGCAACTCCCAGGAGACAGGATGGCAAAACAGCATCCGTCACAATCTCAGTCTGAGCAAATCGTTTTCTAAGCAAGAGCGCCCCAAGGACGACCCTGGAAAAGGCCATTACTGGGTCATCAACGCTGGGTTCGAGAAGCAGTATCACAAGGTCAAGCCCGTTCGTCGACCGGCTCATCCAGAACCTCTTGCTCCGGCATATGCCAGTGATCTCCCGCGCCCGTCCACATCCATGTCAGCTAGCTTCCCACCCATGAGCTCGACAAAGGGATTTGACTCGAGCAAATTTCCGGAAGAGGCCGAGCTACCTTCTTCCGAGGCTACCATCCCCTGCTCCGACCCGGCTGCTCATGATGGACATGATCCTATTAGCATGCCGCCGCCCCGTCAAATGCCATCTTCACCTCCACCAGCCGACATCCACTCCTCACCGCCTCCACCTGTCTCCCGATCCCGCTCGGTTCGTGAGGACACACCGCCACGTGCTCCACATTTCCCTCCCAACAGCCGCTCGGGCGGACGCAGGCGCAAGTTCAACGGCCTTGGTGACAGCGGCTACTACTCTTCTATTGAATCGTCTGCGATCAAGGGTAACCCGATGGGACCTCTACTCACCTCCGAAGCGGATCTCGATCGCCCTAACCTCAAACGTGGCCGCGCTGAAGAAGAGATTGCCCGCATACGTGGCTCTTCTTACGACTCTCCCACCAAGACAAGGTCTCACACGAAGCAACCTGTCATCTCGTCGCCGGTTCGTCAGGGTGGCAAGGTACTCGACCCTCTTACCCCTGCTATCGTCTTCAAGCGTCCTGCCCTCCCACCCGCTTCCGCATCACCCAATACCAACCTACGCAACCACCGCAACAAGATGCGAGAACTAGTAGGTGGTTCACCGGATAAGAGCTTGGCTATGTGGGTTGACACTTCCTTCCTCGATAACAAGGCGTGGAGCCCGGCTGTATCGATCCCCAACGAAGAGAATGTCAACCTTGTTGGCCACGGTTTCGAGAGTACCTTCGACATCTTTGGAGATTTTGGCTACAACGAAAGCCCTTTAAAGCGATCTGCTAAGCGTCCCCGTCTTGAGCGTGCTGTCACCACAAGCGGTGTCCTTGCTGACATTACTGGCGCCAAGAGCAACATGATCAACTCGCCTACACCCAACTGGAAGATGTCGTCCTCTTTCCTCAACATCCCAGACCTATCACCTGCTAAGAAAATGTCACCCATCAAAGCTCCCATGTTGAAGTCTACTACATCTCCCTCTCTCTCTGAGTTTGCCCTCCCCCAGCCAAACAAAGAGAACACACATTCGGGTCTTGCGCCTCCTCAATCCTTCCATGTTCCTGCGAAGCCGCTGCAGCAGGATGATGAGGACATCTTCCACTTGTTGCACAGTGACGAGTCTGAGCCAGGTATTGACCTGCTTCAGGGTTTTGAGAAGATAGGAGCGCGAACATTGGCTGTCGCACCCAACGGCTCGCCACAGAAGAAGGCTGCGAGACCGGGCTTGGCCCGCAGTTCAACAACTCGCTTCTAAGCAAACTACCAAGATGCCATTGTCACTGGCTATTGGTTTTCGTCTAATCTTTTGCTCTACTCCTGGATCTCATCTCCTGGATCTGGATGCCTCTTTCTTCGCCATTCTCGATACCCCTCATCTTGCGACTACATGTTTTAGCTCTTTCCCCCTGGCCCTCCATATCACGGTTCCCCAGGTCATCACTTCGACCCCTCCCTCTTTGCATTATCCATTGGATAATTCCGACTCACGATGTAACGACCAACGATACCCACGATAGCAACGGCTGGCTCCCTCTACTTATAAAGTCTAATTTGACATATCTTCTCATTAGGCGAGGCGTCGCAAGGCCACGTGGAACATACACATTACGCCTGCTGCTGTGTCTACTACGGTGTTTGGGATTTTGTTTCTTAGCGAGCGATGCAAGCGTAATGATATATTGAGCTGGACATTGGGCTTGAACGGAGATGGTCATTTTTATATGGCGTAATCACGACGCGGACGAGAACGCGAACATGCCTGAACGTAGCGGATACTATATAGTCTTTCTCATTCAGCGAATTGAACATGTTTCTTGATCCCTAACATTATGTCCGCCATGCTCACACCTCAGTCTGTGAATTGGTTCGCTGCCTAGTTACACTTATCATACGCCTCCTTCTGACCTGCTATACGTGGACTAAGACTGTAAGCAGTCTGTATGATTGAATAGGAACTCTGATGGCACGATCTATGTTGCATACAAACATACAAACGTGCACCTAGAAAACAACCAATAGTAGTACTCCTGGATTTAATTCTCCGCAGACTTACGTTTCCGGTACCCCCTCTTCTTCTCTTCTCCTCTCAACGAAAGCCCATTCGTCCCAACAACACCGTTCTACCCGCAAAAAGCAAGCGTCACCCCTCGTTTCGCGCGGGATATACTACCCTCGGGCTATCGGCCCCCCGTGTATGATTGTAAAACTTGGGACACTAGTCACGATCGTCCTTGCTGTAGATGCACCTGCATATGCATATGCAACCCACCTTTCTAGTCTGTCGCTACCCCACAAACGGATTACGCAGCTAAAGCCTAGGGCAAATATGTCGGCACTCTCGGTAGGTCAAGGTTATAGCGCGCCATGGAACTGTATACATCCGCTTCCGTGATCAACAGAGGTAAACACTACCAAGCATACGATGGCTGTGCGGACGTCTGTGCGTCAGTGCATGATCAGCATGTAGTAAGTACATAGTACATACATACCCGTAGTGGCCCAAAGCAGAATTTCTCAATCAGGTAGAAGAAGTAACCTGTCGTGGCAACGTGGTCTACGCTTTAAGCTTGCCTTCTTCGTATACGTACGTGCCCTTGTCTGAACCTTGGATTGACCAGATACCTATGTGCTCTGAGGGGAGCCGGAAGCATGCGAGTGGCACGTTCTCGCAATTCTACAATTTATGCTTCATCAAGCGTACCTTCATTTGGCCTACTTGTCTATTTTAGCTCAATGACAATAAAGTCGGGGCGGAAGCAAGAATATGGCAAGTGAAGATTGTGCAAAAAACATACAACAGCGGAGATTCGCCAGTGGTCACCCACCTGACTACTAATCCGCCGGTTAAGGGTTTATCGTGTGGAGAGCGGACGGGATCCAGAGTCTTCCTTTACCTATGGTCGTATGTAGTCATCATCCGATTTCAAAATCATATATGCTCAACAAAGACCTGTGTGGTCAAAGGCCTTGAGCTTAGATAGTCCTAACATGGAACATAATGCATGGTATGGAGAATTCAGCTGCAGTAATACGCCAATCGCTTCATCAAAATATCATGACTACATCTCCTCATGTCCGGTAGTCGCCGTTGATAGTGACGTACTCATGACTAAAGTCACATGTCCAGAAGACAGCTTCCTCTCCTTCCTTTTCGCTCAACCTAACCTTAATCTCCAAATCTTCTGCCTCTAGTATCTTGGCTGCCCTGTTCTCGTCGACTTGCTCTGGCTCACCCTTGACAAGCAGCTTCAACTCCTCACTGCCGTCTGTGGGTACAAAGCTTACGCTTGTCTCCTCAGGTACCACTGAATCAACACCCTCTGCGTAGCCTGTCGCACACAGAATACGGCCCCAGTTTGCATCCTTTCCATACAAGGCTGTCTTGACGAGTGGTGAGCGCGCGATGGTGGAAGCTACGCGGTGCGCGTCTTTGTAGGACGCAGCGTTTGTTACTTTGATGGTGACGAACTTTGTCGCACCTTCTCCATCTCTGACGACCAACTTGGCTAGGTCAATCGAAAAGTCTGTGAGAACCTTTTGGAAAGCTGCAAAGTCTGGAGAATCAGCGGAGTTGATAGGCTGGCCGCCCGCGGCACCGTTGGCTAAGATAGCTACTGTGTCGTTGGTGGATGTGTCACCGTCGATGGAAATGCTGTTGAAAGATTTTCCGATTGCAGAGACGAGTGCCTGACGGAGCAAGTAGGGGGCGACGGGTGCGTCTGTGCATATTATGCCTAGAAGAGTGGCCATGTTGGGATGGATCATGCCTGCGCCTTTAGTCATACCCGCGATGTGGTATTCTTGTTGAGTGCTTGGTAGCGTAAATGTCTTTGAGACGAGCTTGGGAAATGTGTCGGTCGTGCAAATTGCGCGTGCGGTGCCGAGCCAGTGTTCGTGTGTATCTCCTAGGTTGTAGTATGCAGTGGGTATCTTTGATGTGATCTTGTCAATGGGCAGACGTTGACCAATGACACCGGTACTCATAACGATGCTCCGGCTTCCTTTCAGGTCATCCTGCCCGTTCTTGTCTTGTATGAAGCACTTGTCAGTTTCTTTGCCCATGGATATAGCATCTTCGATGCCTCCACGTCCTGTCACCGCATTGGCGCAGCCCGAGTTTACTACGACAGCTCTGATTCCCTCGCCCTTCCTCTTCTTCAGCATATCCCTGCTGACGGTCACAGGAGCCGCTTGGAACTTATTTGTGGTGAAGACAGCAGCTCCTGCGCACGGTGTATCAGATGCGATCAGAGCAAGATCGTCGAAGCGGGTGTTCGACGCCTTGACACCAACATGTGCACTTCCAGCCTTGAAGCCCAGTGGATATGTGCCCGAGGTTGGGACATACTTCTTCTTCGCAGGGGGGATCACACCGTCACCTGGCGCAGCATATGTTCGTATCTGCGAGGTGAAAATGCACTTTGTACGGCTGAGGAGGCGAGGGTTGGGGCGTGTGAGGGACATGACTGGATGAAGCTGTCAGATGTGTTGTCTCTCGAGTCGCTGTTTGCGACAATTGCAAGGACGCAGAGACACTCTCGTGAAGATGATGCCTGACGGAGCCTCATGCGAGGACCAAACATACCTGGAGATGTTCTTGTACCCCTTGTATCTTTTGACTCACCCAATCGACGTCCTGCGCCCTATGAGTCTTGCGATTGAAGCTGCCCAAAAAGTTCCAGGATGCGACTTTCCGCCGTTATCGCTCCCCGCCGATCTCCACGCGAGCCAAGTCGAGTCAAGACCCTTGCGCGTCTAGAGCAACAACGCGCCCAGCGTCGAGCCCATCAAATAACAGACGAGAATCGCGTATCGCGTCATCACGACACGCTCCTTTTGCGCCAGATAGGGCGCGACAATGAAAAATATGGCTGCTGTGGGCAGACTGGCGGGGATCGACATGCGCAGGCCGCGAGCGAGTTGAGCCACCATGGCGTAGTATTGGCCGTCCAGAGCTATGGGCACGAGGCTGTCGCCGCTGTAGAGGACCACGACTTGGAAGACGGTAAGCAACAGAGTGGACACCAGCAGTGCGTATTCAACGCCTTCACGATGGCGTTGGTCGATCTTGTTCATGTAGGCATCGAGTGTGCGTTCGACGACAGGGAGGAGCGGCGTTTTCTCCGAAGTATAGGACATCATGATTGCTGACTATTGAATTGACGAGTATGAAGCACTTCGATTTATGAGGCCTCTATACATATTATATGCTATCTACGCGCTTGGGCGGTACAAACAATGTTAGATACCAATGTTGGTTGTCTTGGAATGCGCCATATGAAACAGGCGGACCCAGTTGTTTGACATGGCATCTTGGCCTCATACTCGGCCTCGGTCTTGTTTCGTCAGCCCTGCTCCTTTGAAATTATAGATGACGAATGACGAGAACCCAGCACAACTAAGTTCTTACGAGCTGTATTAATTAGTATTGCCAGGGCATCCGGAAAGCGCCAGCTAAGGAGCCATCTTGCGAGCATTTCCTTGTGCACATTAAGCAGCGTAGAATAGCGTAAACCTACATGTGCGACAAGGTTTTGGTATGTTTGACCCTATTAAAATAGGCTGGCAGCATGACATGCGGGTATAACTTGGCCAAAGAGCGGCTGTTTCGCCAACATTGCGTCACCGTGGTTGTGTCTTCCACGCGATATCTACCATTCGACATGTCCTCTGTGAAACGAGATATGTCTGCTTCGGTTCCCCCAGTGTCTCAAAATAGTCTGCCCTAGCAGCCTTGCCTACCACAGATACCACAAGTTCACCGAGCTCAGTGCAGAGGGTGAAGTCGTATATTCACCGACAGCGTTCGCCTGTTGAAGCTGTTTTCTGAGGTTCTTCTAAGTTCCCTACCGAATGCAGCAAGGCAAAGGCTATCGTGAAGCGCATAGTCGAACAAATCCTTATGAGCCGCGCAAACTTGATCCTCTGCTTCAGAAGTCCACTGTCCCTGTGTTTTGTAAAAGCTAATATTCTGTAGCCTGTGATGGGCCACCTCGATCACATAGGATATGTAGAACACACCTCGTAATCGACCAAGTTTGCATCCAGTCGAAGGTATGCTTGCTCCCTAGCATTTCATAACCTACGTTTCATTAAGGAATCTACGATGTGTTGTATTCTGCCAGGTAAAGGGTAGGGAGAGGGATCAAAGACCAAAGAATGGAACGATGTGTACCTGGGTATGTTCCTGGACAAACACTTCCGTGTCGCCCCAAGTGCGTACACATAACGCCGAAAATATGTCATCATCTCGGATATGTCGACTGCCAGAGGCCCTGTATCCTTTCAATATCTCGCAGATGCACACAGCATGTCAGCTCTTCATTTTCCCGTATGCAGGTGCGGCGAGAAACGTGGTCGAGAATGCATGTGCGTCGTTTCTGCGTTTCACCTATGGAAAACTGCCACGAGGAGATATCTTACCTTTGCACATCCTCCGGGTGGAAGATCCGCAGACAAAGACTACAAGGAGCATATGGCGTTCGAGAGACCATGCTCAGCCTCAGTCCTGTGGAGGGACGGATGGAAGGACGAACAAGGAGACGCTACAAGTAGCGTATCCCGTGCACCACGCTAACCCTTCCGAGAACCCCAACATCGGTGTTGAAGTTTAGGCTTTCCGATATCCTAGAGCATATAGTAATTTGATATCAATCAGCGTGTTAGTCGTGTTGATCTGATTCTATGGTGTCTGAGCAGATGAGAAGATGAGCGTGATGATGACATTTGTTCGATTGGGTTCTGGCTTTTGCGTGTGCGGAAGGAAGTCGGTACTTCACGATAATCTATGCGCGCAAAAGAAAGGCATGTCATGTTAATGCGAACGCAGGCGTTACCTAGGTACCGTAAGGAGAGAACAACACTTCTGATATCGTATAGGGTAGGATGCTCTGAGTGTGTGCCCCTCCTGCGTACTCACCTGGGTGGGAAAGAACAATGCAGCACTCATTGGCTCCAGTATGCAGCAATCGCTTCCGAAGGCTGTGTTGTAAGACTGTGTTTAACATTTGCGTTTCATCATTCGACCACCGGGGACCAAGCGGATTACGCAAATCGATAATAATCTAGTGGTCAGTGTGGTAGTCATCTTCGAAAGCACGGCTAGATAGTGCTTGACCGTGCTTCATTGTATTCTACAAAGGCGGCTTTGTCTGCTGGGTTTCATGTCCGCGTTCGATATGCGATGAAGGAGACACCTCATCGACATCCCTAATACACCACCAAAAGATCCTGGACATAGCATGGCCGTATCTTTTCCTGTCATTCATTACTATTCTTAAAATTTCCATTGCTTCGTTCTAGCGAAGATACATTGCCACCGAGCATGAACACTTTCCTTAATATACCTCATGTGCGGGCTCGCGCAGATACTACAGCACTAATAATTCCAACCCTCGACGCCAGCGTACCGAACGCACCACCGACTCGACCTTCAACGCAACCACGATCGGTAGCAAGGGCAGTCGCCATAGATTCAACCACATTGTCAGTCACATCAGCACGATCCGTACCACAAGCAGGAGGAATGTCTTCCGCAACAAAAATCGGTCTCGGAATGATACCCGTCATAATCGCCTCGTGCGCAATCTGCATCTTCGCCGTTTTCTGGTGCCGCAGACGAAAGGCGCGGAGAATGAGTCAAGATCTGGAATCACCACCTCCGGTCCCGGAGAAAGACTATGTCACACGCTTGCCATCACTAGACAGTGACCGGAGAGGAAGCAAGGTGTTCGACATGGCCGCATTCAGCACTCACATCTACGACGGTCGGCACAGAGAAGCGCAAGTTCTCGGTCAAAGCAGGGAGTTCGATCGATCGATAGATCAAAATCAAGACGATGATCTTGAGACGCTGAGGACACCGCCACGCAGCATAAAGGTGGAAAAGATTCGCTCTGGTCGAGACTCGCCCATTGATGGGTCAAGTCCGTTCCGACTAAAGCGAGGCGATACCCTCAGAAGAAGCTTGGGGTCTGAAATATCAGAACTCTGGCCGTCACCACCACCAACCGCGTGGGTAAGGCGGCAGGGTATCCTCGATTCATTGCCGTCATCGAGATTCGGTCGAGATATGAATAGGAGATCACAATGTAGCGCAGACTACAAGCGAAGGAGCGATGCAAGCTCAGTGTTTTAAGATCTTGGCAAGGCGTTTTGGTTAATAGGTGGTAGATGGGCGGAAATCAGGACTGCGATAGGTCTTCTCTTACGACTGGACGACTTTTGTAGTGGTTCACTATACCCCATAGGTTACAGGCGTCCAGGTTGGGGATACCTTCATTCACTCACTTTTCTCTGTAAACATGTTAACAATTGAATTATTATGTTCTGGCCAATAGACACACCCTATGCTTTGTTTTGACCATCCATCATGTTCTCAAATGTATCCATGTGTACGATCTCTCTGGCCTGTCCGATGCGGCATCTAGAGGTGTCGTGCCTGTGGATAAGTCCTTGCTCTAGTGTGAACGCATGTGTGCGTGTCTTTGCAGTCCTCCCATGCAGTGTCTGCAGAATATCGAGGGCGTCTTCGCCTTGGGTGAAAGTATGACTATCTTCGCACGTTCTCCTCATCATGGTGCTCAGTCACTGGAAGCGCATCCTCTGCAGCCGCAGTTTACGCATTGTATTTCCTGGTTCTCTTTGAGCTGATCCCTAGGGACACGGCAGATACAGGTCGATCGGAAATTTGTCTCTTTGGTCTGAATGCAGCGGGTGCAGCATAGCTATCACTGAGTTAGTTTGATTTGGGCTGGCAAGCTGCGTGGTGAGAGTTGTCCTACCTTCTCGTAGCCTTGCTTCTTCCACTTGGCAATCAACATGGCGTCCGCATATCCGTTCTTGAGCAGGTAGTCATATAGCTGCTTGGTGATAGCCTCCTTCTCGTAGTATAGGTCGTATATGTAGCGCGAGCGTTGGTGGGTGATCTGGAAGATGGGCCACGTCATTTCGTACTTCTTCTTGCCCTCATGCGATGCGTTCTCAGCATCCTTCATCTTGTTCTGGAACTCGAGGAGTGTGTCCTCGATGTCATCGAAGCCCTCTGGCGGGGCCTTGCGCGAGGCGCGTGCGGTGCGGACTGGAGGCATGGCTGGGCAGGCTGTGGAAGGTCGACCGTCACGGGTTTGGCGCGTGTGTCAGCTAGAGTAGCTTGTGTGGCAGTGGAAGCGGCCGAGCTTGCGATTTGCTGTAATGACGTTGTCGGTGAAGGTGATTTCGAGAAGGAAGCGATGGATATCTTCGCGACTTGCGCCGGGAGTAAAATCCGCGCTAACGTCAGGTCTTGGCACTCCACTCCACCCGCGAGCCGCATCGTCACTGCAACTCAAGCTGCGAGACGACTGGAAGCTCCGCAACACCGCTAAAATGGTCATCAACCCCACCTACCTCGCTCAGCGCACGCGCTCATGTTAGTCGAACACGCACACGGAACATTGGACGAGCACAAAGGCTAACACGGGCACAGCGGTCAACTGGACTGATGCGAAGAAGAGGGTCATTCACAGCTACCGGGACTGGCTGCGGTCGGTACGTTGCTTCCCGGTCCTTGAAACTTGACTAGGAAGAACGGGTCCTAGACACTGGACGTGTACCCGGAACAGCTGGAACGAGACGAAGGAACGCGTGAGATGCGGAGCCAGGAACCCGGACTGACTATGATTATGCAGGCTCCCGAGATCCAGACCATGTACTCGCTGAACATGCCAGTGTCTACACTTCGGACGAAAATGCGGCAGGAATTTGAGCGGCATCGATATGTGAATCAACTAAAGACGGTGGATGTACTGCTGTTCAACAGTCACCAGGAGTTCCAGGTACACCCTGACTCACTATGTTTGATATTCGGAGGGCATGTGCTAACAAACGCACAGGAGACGCTCAACTTCTGGAAGCAGCTGTCCCACGTTCTCAAGTACTTTCGTGCTGAGGAAGACCCCAAGGCCCGGCTACCAAACAACTTCATCAACGGCTTCTTGGAGGTACGTTCATGTTTGATTTGAACTCCGGGGCAGCTTGATACTAACATACGCATAGGGTCGCAACTGATTTGACTATTACTACCAGAGTCCAAGAACAACCAAGAACAAAATTCGGTGTATATAGCTGAAGTCAATACCATTTTCCTTTCCCTTCGCCGATGAACTATGCTACCCTTTAACGCCGGTAATGCAATGCTATCTTAACAACCGCGTCGCGGGCCTACTCCTCCATCTTGTTGACAAAGTCATCACGTGCAATGGTGAATTTCTGCTCGACGACATCACACATGTTCATGAGATCCTCCAACCCTTTCTCAAGCACAGTGTATACGCTGACGCCGTCTACTTGGTTGTTAGCTGAGCGTTCAGGACGATCTCGTTTGTATGACCTACCATATGTTTGGATGCGCAAGTTCATCTTGGCTTCCGAGGGATGCGGGATAGAATAACCGCAGAACTCGACGTCGGGGCTCGAAATATCATCAGCTATTTGTCAAGTTGCAACGACTTGTTCAACTTACTTCTTGTGAATGATGTATCGCAACGCGTTGCCTAGAGTATGATCCTCTCCATCAAACTGGAAAGACGCGGCGGTTTCCGTCGCGCCGGAAAGCTATAGCGAATTAGATATGGTGTACTTGAACACTGGTCTAGATCAAACGCACGACTCTGATCCTGTCGCGATCAACTGCTGGGTCGATCTCCTCGTTGTTCTCAGAGGTAGGATCTATGATTGGAACTTGGGTAGGTTCTTGTGTTGTGCCTGGCATTTTGTTCTTATTCCTTGCTCTTTATAGCCAGCTGGCGGTAGACGAGGGATAATGCGCTGAGAGTTGATTCTGATCCCAAGTTTGATCCTAAAGATGGGTCGTGACTTTGCGATATCAAAATTTTGGGGCGGACTTTGGTTCGGCGAATCGTTGGTTGGCCAGACTTTTTCAGCCCTATATCGCTTGGCAACATGACGTGGGGCGTGGGGAAGCCCGTCTGAGTCCGCCTCAACTTTTTATGTCTTCACTTTGCCATTGGTAAACCCGAAGCACCCAAAAACATACATACCCCTCAGACACCACCGCCAAAATGCCGCGCACCTGCTGCCTCAACCGCGATACCAACGAGACAAAGATCCAGGTCTCGATAAACCTCGATGGCGGCGACCTCTCCCCTTACGAGCACAGCGACTTCTGGGCCGCCTTCGACAAGGAGAATCTCAATGGCGAGGGTGAGAAGGTCGACAAGGACCATGCGACCCAGAAGTCGGCGTCTCAAGAAATCTCCGTCGACACGGGTATCGGCTTCCTCGACCACATGATTCACGCCATGGCCAAGCACGCTGGCTGGAGTCTGCGCATACGGTGCAAGGGCGACCTCCACATTGACGACCATCACACAAGCGAAGATACCTTTTTGGCCTTAGGTACGGCCTTCAAGAATGCGTTGCAGGGAAGCACGGGTCTTGCTCGCTTTGGACACGCGTACGCACCGCTCGACGAGGCACTGTCGCGAGCTGTCATCGACCTATCGAACAGGCCATACAGCATTATTGAATTGGGTCTCAAGAGGGAGAAGATTGGCGATTTGAGCTGTGAGATGATTCCCCATTGCCTGCAAAGCTTCGCGCAAGCATCTGGCACTACCCTCCACGTCGACTGCATACGCGGTGACAACGACCACCACAGGGCCGAGAGCGCTTTCAAGGCACTTGCAGTTGCTATCAGGCATGCGACAACCGTGGTAAAGCAGTGGGAGGGCGAGGTCCGCAGTACCAAGGGCGTACTCTACTAAACACCAATACAACTAGATTACATCAATCTAACTTACAGAATTGTACAGAGCATGGTTATTTTACCATAGAAGCTTATGTTCAATCGTTACAAAACATACCTTAATAGCCCGATGACTTATCTTCCGTACATCAGTTCATAGCCCTGAAAGTCCAGTGTCACAGCATGACAGGTATGTAAGGCAGTAATGACACGGACCGCCCAACATGATTTGCAGTGAGTACCTGCTGGCACCTACGTCACACAGCAAGGAGGAAGTCGGTGTTTCAAGAGTAATGTAGATATAGGAACATTGCGCAAGACGATACCCTAATCCATGCATAGTAAAGTTAGACCGAGTACGGCGTGAACACGCTAACTACATGCAGGCACGTAATTCGCCGAGTCTTCAATGTCTAATGAGTAATCATTTTGCTCGATGAGGCGGCTTAGCTAGACACCTCCGGTTAACCCCAGGGTCTTGGCGAAACAGAACTCCTCAAATAGTTACTGTAGATTTCACTGTAAGGCATCTACCCCACCCTCTAACTCCCAGTATGAGGCCAAAAAGAAAGAATGTGTGCCAGAATTGTAGAGCTAAAAAGCTTGCTGTAAGTCCTTGTCGTTGCTGTGCAGGTACGGGGTTGATCCGCTAACGATGTTTGAAGTGCGATGGCGCGCAACCAGAATGCTCTCAATGCGTGTTTAAACAAATCCGTTGCAGCGGATACAAACAAGAATTCGTATTCGTGGGTAACACCACTGTCAACACCAACGTTCGCACAGAATCAGCACAAAAGAAGAAGACCACGTTTGCCAGGTCCACGGTGGTTCTTGATACTCATACACTTCACGCTAAGAAGACTCAACAAAGCGCCTCACCTTCAGATACCACGGGACCAGTCCTCCCTGTTGAGGCGGGCATCGTTGAGAGTCAATCCTGTTATGACCTTGAAGACGACATACAATTCATCATGGAACAATTTGCACCCGCTGATCAACATACCTCTGGAGAACCTACTTTGTCGTATAATCAAATCTGCGGGGCATGGATTAATGTTCTTCCACTCATTGCCAAAAACAGAAGCAAAGATTACCCCCTAGTACCTGCAATTAGGGCGTTAGCCTCTGCGCTCCGCCGGCACTCCGATGTTGATGTCGATGGACAAGGGCGCCGGCCCCGGATAGTCGAGGTGTACTGCGAGTCGCTTAGGCATATGGGCAGAGCAATAGCAGAAGCGCGAGGCGCATCGAGCATCGAGCACATTACTGCGATCATGTGTTTAGCAGATACTGACGTATGTTTCCAATCCGCTGCATACTATTCGTCGTCTGGAGGCTAACGTAGTGGGAATGAAGATCATAGCCCCAGAGTTAAAGTCCGGTTGGATGACACATGTAAGAGCTGTTGGAGATATGTTAGAACGCCTAGGACCTACAGCCTTCAGCATTGGAACAATGCATACAATGTTTATTGGGTTTAGACCTCTGCTTGTAGGTTACAAACGATCCTTATAGGTGTGCTGAGCACAGGACTAATCATTTTGGGGGGGTTATCTAGCTATTGAGCTCGATACTCCACCGACATGGAACATTTCTTGCGCGAGAAGAATGGATCACTGAGCCGTTTCAAGGACAACCTGTGTCCATAATCCAGCAGCTTCTGAACAGAGCCTGCGGTCTTCCGGCACTATTGGAAAGATTCTGCGAGATCAATCACATATCGAGCCTTCCGGACCTTGTTACGGTTAACCAGCTTGAACAGGATTTTCACGCCGTCCTCTCCAGACTTCGGGAGTGGGAACAGACGTTCAAATCCCAAGTGTCGCATCCTTTGTTTTGGTCAAGGTCTGACCCCGAGACTTGGTCTTTACCAGGTGCGAATGCTCTCTGGTTTCCGAATATGATGACAGCAACTAGTCTCACGCATTATTGGGCTTTCGAGATTGTTGTGAGAACACATATCAGCGCTTTGCACCGGATTGCTTCTACAGCAAAGGGACATAATTCTCAAACCCACACAAATGTATACACGGAAGCTTCTGCGGAATACTCACTTCTAGTTCTGGCCGATATGATCTGTGACAGCACCTCATATCTCCTGCAGCCAGTATTCAAGTATCACGGACTCTGGTCTGCTTTCTTCACCCTTCCTACAGCTTTGCGCGTGTTCAGACAAGAGCAGGTTCTTAGTAGCAGCCGAGCCAGGCGCTCTCAACGGATAGCCAAACTGCTAGCTAGCAGAGATGTTTACTTCCCGGAAAACTACCTAGTTCAAAAGATTTCATAGTTATATAGCTTCATGCATGTATGTGCAACAATCCGTTATCCAGTGCTAGCGTGAAGCGACAATCAAGGTCTGTCCTCTGCATTGGGCATGATATACAAGACTTCAACTACCGTAGATGCAGAGGTTGAAGCGATGAGGAAGCCTGTCTATACTGAACGTTCGGCGCGATCGATCTTTGTTGACGTGCAAGTACCAGAAGGTCTTTGCGCATTAGTTCTTAACGTTGTTAAAGCTTGGCGGATTCGATCGCTGGTTCCGGACTAGCGCCAAAGTTGCTGTAGCAAGTGCCTACGTTTATCACCCGATGAAGGCTGCAAGGTATTACCACGCGGACCCTCAACTACTCTGACCTGATGGCTGGTCTGACCGAATCTACATTACGGAGGTATGCAAACAAAGAACGCTTGTGTAATTACTTTCACTCTCATTGGTCTTGCCCTTGACACGGTACCTTGAATCCTACGATTTTGATGTCTGGAAATGGATATGGGGGCGTTTGCGCGTGGGTGAGCCTATACAACTCCATACCGCCTAGGTTTCCGCGGACTCCGAACTGTGATAGCCACGTAATGGTTCTAGGGTATGGAGATTCACAGCAGTCGGACTAACCTAAGTCCAAGGTTCTCCTGATGAGCGTAGGTATTCGCTCACGAGTATATAAGTCCTTTTAGAGTCACAAAGAGGAAGATCCGATACTTCATCACATTGAGAATTCCCTCCTCCTGCTATTTGTCCATAAACATTTCAAATCCATTCTAGCCTGTACCGCCTCTTCCTCGAAAAGATGACTACCCCGCGCCCCATCAAAGGAGCTGAAAGTTTGCCATCGCAGTGGGCATTCACGGAAGATTTGGCTGGTTTCGATATCCCGATCCGCTTGGAGGGAGAGATTGGGGACGTCATGGTGCGCGGAACGATTCCCAAGAGTATTGATGGAACGTTCTATCGTGTCTGTCAGGATCTCGCTACTCCGGCTCCAAAAGGATTGAGTCCCATTGGCGGCAACGGATCTGTTACAGCTTTCCGAATCCATAATGGTCATGTCGACTTCAAAGTCCGTTATGTTCACAACGATCGGTACAAGATCGAGAGGAACGCGAAGAAGACTCTCTGGTCAGATATCATAAACGAACCGCTGAGTCAACAACACCCGTGTATCAGTGCTGTGCTAGGCGCTACTAGCAACACAAACATAATTCACTGGGCTGGAAGACTGCTTGCGCTTGTAGAAATACACCCAGCGTATAGTATGGATCCCGACACGCTTGAGACAACCGGAGAGGATCCCTTTGGCGACCAAATTACCACCACTAGTTTCACGGCACATCCACACGTCGACCCGCATGTCGATGAGCTCGTCACGTACAGCCTTGACTTCATGAAAAAGGAAATCATTTCTTATTCTATCGATCGTCAGGGCACCGTTAAGAATGAGCACTTGTTCAAGCAGTCCCATTTCGGTACTGTTCATGACATGGCTATCACAGATAATTGGAACGTCTTCTGCCAATGGCCGACCCTCCCCAATCCCAGCAAAGAGCCAGGTGCTTCTCCTATCATATGGGACACTGAGCGGCCTGCTATGTTCATAGTAACTCCACGACGTCCGGAGTCGCCTTTGGAGGGTTCAGGATGGGCGCCATACGAAAGTCGCATCTACACTCATCCTTACAATTCCGAGATATTGCACACGGCGGGAGCCTGGGAAGAGGATGGGAAGATCTTTTTCGAAGGCGTTTGGCCCCATCATGGACACTTTCCGTTTTGGCAACAGACGAACGGGAAACCGGTGGCGAAAACCGAGCTGTGCGATCTGGTTAGGCTCGAGATCGATCCGAGCAAGCCTACAAACTCTTCCATCCCTGATCCTGTTGTCCTCGTTGACATTCCAAACGAGTTTTGCCGAATTGACGAACGCTACCAATGCAGGAAGTATGACAAGATCTTCATGAACGTATTTCACTCCGAGGATGGAAGTCTGGACCTGTTTGAGAACAAGCATATTTACCAAGGACTCAATGCTACCGCAATGCTCACCAAGAGCACGGGGGAGCTTAAGATCTACTCTCCCGGGCCGCAATGCCGTTGTCAAGAACCCGTCCACATTCCGCGCTCTGACGATGCCCCTGAAGGCGATGGATACATCATCTTCGCTGTCGATCGTCTTGATGTCAATCTCACCAATGTTGTCATTCTCGATACCGCGGGTGATTTCCAGACCCCGGTAGCAGTTATTGAGCTGCCAATGCGCATGCGAGCTCAGATTCATGGCAATTGGGTTGACGCAAGAGAACTGAGTGGTAAACCTCTGGTGGCTCCTCCGCCACTGACCCATATGAACTGGCACCGTGTCAAGCCGAACCGTGGAATTCCTGTTAATGCATGATTGGTCGGTAGCAATGTTGCAGGGAGTGTGATATCGCCTCTCGTCTCTACATCTGTATTTATTTTTCAACTATGCTGCAATAATAATGGTGGTCGTTCAAAATGGATCATAAATCTTCTCTTTTGGTTGCAATGAAGAAAAGTGCTTAGCCAGCCACCATGTTCAGTCTTCGCGAACAACAGTGTCTAAACCCAATGCAAAAGTCCAGACTGTCTGAAATGGTGCCAAGATCTTGGTGTTTTCCATGCGTCATGCGCGATTTTAGTGCTCGTAGTCGTGAGCGACCAGGCGTCCGAGAAGCTCAAGATTATGCATTTCTAAGCAGCAAGTAAGTCCAAGGTGTTTGTTGGCCAGTATCGTTTGTAAATACAGAGACCGGCTCGGATCGCGGAGGAGTCGGAGAAAACGGAGAAGAAGAAAGTAGCACCGAGAAACAAGGTTCTTGCCAACGGTAAACTAGCATAATATAGCAGAGTAGCCAGATCAAGACATGCTCGATCAGCGACTGCCAATCCTTGATTTATAATCGCCAATCGTCCGTTTACTTTTAGGCCATATAAACAGTATATTAACATAGCCTTACCCATGTTTGACTACCAAAGCTACACAGTCCTACACTTTCACGTCTTTCCAAGTTCTCTTCCCAACTCCAATCAAGCTACGATTCCTTCAAAAAAAACGCATCTCATAATGTCCTTTCCCAACAACTTGTTAAGCCAGTCAACATGGCGTCAAGTAGGACTCGGTCTCACGACGATGATCTTTAGCCTTGGAACCTTGGCCATTGTCTCGCCAACTACCGCCTCGAAGGGCCTCGGTGTCGTTCCTACCTCACCAGAAGGCTATGAAATCAACGAGAAGTCAATGGTTTTTCTTGGTATCCGTGACGTAGCCGCAGCTTTGACGTTGTTCTGGTTCTATAGCGAACGCAAGACCAAAGAGATGGGTGCTTTGACGATGGCTTGGGTTCTGGTATGTGTTGCCGATGCCTGGGTTGCAGCATGGGGCCCAAACGGATTCGACAATGGGGTTTGGGGACTTTGCGGCGCTGGTCTTGCGATGTCTTTTATCGGAGCAGGATTGTTTCAGTCCCAATGACAGGATTTCAGAGCACTTTAGGTAGATAGCCCTTACGGAACAGGAAATCTTCTCATGACATTAGCTCACTTCTTAATGGAACGACATTCTCGTGATACTACTACACTTAAAAGTAAAGATGAGAAGACTTAGCGACATGTTGCGATTTCCCATATCTGCTTCCAAGACAGCCCCAAAGCAACGCGCAACGTATTGACATATCAATATTCTCCCGATTCTCTAGTTACTTCAATGTTCAGTGTTTGTAGTAAGCGTGGAATACATCCATATAGGTTCAATGTTACAAGCAGTCCAAAAAGGGAGAGACATCATGCGATGCGATGCAATGCGATGCATGGCGATACTGCGTGCTGCAAGCAAGACTGTGTGGAGCGGGCCGAGCAGTCGGCCCTAGGATATGTTGTCCAAGACAAGCGCATGAGGAGATTCTGGAGAAACCGATGAGGTACTTTCATTGCGTTCAAGGATATCTTTAATGGCTCCATGGCGCCTGCAATGCAACAACACTTGTGTAAATCCAAGCTAATATACAGAACAATAATGCTCAAAACCTGAACCATCAATGTAAGACGAATGCAACCAGGTCTAGGGGGGAAAGAAACATACCTTATCTCATAATTACCCGCTCTCGTCATGTAGCGCACCCACTTTACACTGCTGTAGTTGCTCTTCTCGAATACCTTCAAGTATCGGACAAGTAATCCGGAACTCGTGAACATCAGCAACGAGAAGCTCAAACTAAGCGGCGGCCGTGACCAAGCCTTCTGATTGGTCATGCTCGTTAAGCTGGCCTCGGCGCTAAGAACGAATTCGCTTTGCCCGGTGAATCTTGGGATCTTCCAGACAATGTTGTTATGTTCCGGCTCGTACTTGGCCTTGCCCTGTGATGTACGCTCGGTGATACGCGCAGTGTTGAGGGGTGTTGGTATCCGCACGACGACGTTTGTTGCAAAGAGTTTGGAGCCATAGTTGGCACGGATGGCGATGCTGTATTCAACCTTGGTCTTGCCAACCTCATTGACAATGGCATGCACCTTGAAAGGCAGGTTGACGTTCTCAGTCGCTCGGTAGCGCATGAGCTCGAATTCGCCGTCGGGCGGCACGAAGGATATTATCCTGTCCGCATCGAACTTGCCCAGCTTGACACATTGGTGGAACTGACAGTCTTCCAATGTAACGCTTCCCGCCGCTGCCCTGGTAGCCTTCGCGCCTGCTTTGTTACCCGATGGCTGTTGGAGGTGATCTTCGCCCAGCGTCAGGCGGTCGTTGAGGCCGAACTTGCACTCGGGTGTGCCTGAGAGATATGCGCGCATTATGATCTGCCCGTTCACGTCGGCTCGCAGTACTGTTCCCGTGGCGGACATGAGTAGGTTGACATCCTCGATGACATCGACGAAGGCTTCGTTTTTGCGGTACTTGATGTCGGCTCGTCGCCAGGAGAGAGCGCCGGTGGCCTGCATTGTGATCTTTGACGAGTCCTCCTGTAGTTCTGTCAGCTGTTGCTCCAGCCGCGTCGGACGTAACCTACCATAGCCCTTTCTGATTTGACACCCTCGGTCGTGATGTACATCTTCAGCGTGTCTGTCTCGGTATTCTGCGGGTATCCAAAGTCGAGAATCTCGTCTAGCAACTCATAGACCAGTACGAAGTTGTTCTTTACGGCCTCCTCGTCAAACTTGCCGAAGTATGCCTTTCCCAGTCCCACCAGACGGTACAGAAACTCAAAGACCAGTGCTGCATTGGCATTGCTCTTCGTCACCGCGACCAGATATATGTTCTCGTGTTTGACATGGCTGAAGGTGGTGGAGCCAAGGGTGAGGATGGGCGAGCGGACTTGGGCGTTGGAAATGACCTGGATTCGGAACACATCGGCAAGGCGTGGGCGGCAGTCGTTACGGAAGGCGCGAAAGATGAGGTTCTCACCTTTCTGGTTGAAGATAAGGATTCCGGAAAGCATGGCGGCGACGTGCGAGGGGACAGCGGACGTCGGCAGGGAATTGGCTGCTTCGGCGTGTTGATGCTTGGAGCTCCACCCGCGACGCCGCGGGATTGAGCTCGGACCATATTCGCTTATGGTAATTAGGGGTCTCAGGGACCGCCTACGTCTTCGTCACGTTGTTCAGACGACATTCAAGTTTTCACCACAACGGTATACTTCATCTTAACATCGGTTCAATTCGAATTAGCACTCTAGGCTGCGAATAGCTACTAAACTGAACATGATCTACTTAAGTTATACTAAGCAAAGCTTATCACATTTCTGTCAGTTGTTGGCGTTATCTGACTATGTTTTCAACGTTACAAGCTCTTGGGGATTTAGCTCTGCCATCAAAGCAGTGTATCGCTCTGCTGTAAGGCTCCTCTTGATATCCTCCATTTGTACACCGATTTCATGGCGTTTTCGATACAAAGTTGCGTACTCATCTTCTAGCGTGGTGAAACGACTAAGAGCAGATGTGCTGCGCTGACTCGGTACTGGACCCGACGAGTTCGATACCCCCTCCTTCAAACTCGATTCTCGGTATCCAAATCTCCCATCAAATCGATCTGTCGAACCCAGCTGCGGATGGAAATAAGCTCTAGGCTTCTGCGTATGTGAGCTCATGGTTTCAGTTGGGTAATTACAGTAGTAAGGTGACTGCGTCGGTGGAAAGGGTGGAGCGCCGTAAACCTTAGAATCCGGAGGAGTAGCTGTATGACCTTGAGGTTGGGGTTCACGTATGCTGCGGGGAGCTCTGTAGTACGACAACTGGGGAGGAGATGGGTTGCGGTCAGCTCCTGCTAGACCATATTGTGGTTTCACACTTTGCGGGTTTTGGATAGGGTCAACATGGTCACGGTTCTCTCGCCGAGATGGCCGCTCGTTATCAGAGTTGCCTGCCATGGTCTGGGTTTGTCGTTCGGTGAGATCCAGGTGTGTAGAGCGAGGCTGAGGTGGTAAGATATTGACAACAGCGGCAGGGGCCGTCGCAGCGATGGAGCCAGCACGGTCCTACTTCCGTAAAGCTTTCACTGCTTTAGCTTGCTTGATATCCATGAGATCATTGCAGGCAGCACGTAAATGCCTCTGCCACCCTTCACTGAACTTGCAGTCGGGATTTTCGTGGTAAATATTCGCCTCGAAACCGAATTGAAGAGCGCACTTCAGGATCAAGTTGTGGGTTGTCTTGGCTTTCCGCTTTAATCAACAGGAAAGCGACATCAGTTTCTCCCCCGAGATTTCTGATATCGACGGAAGACCAGTGTCCTTTCGTGGTGTCGCCGTTACAGATCTCCAATCTGAATGGCGCGTTCTTCCTTGTTTTTTATACCTATGAAAACGTATACGAAGGCTGGGCCCCGTCGTTTTTTCGGTCGATGCCCTATTTCGTTTTCCGATATATACTTCAGCATGAACTCCATGGCTATCATTTTCTTTTTGAGGGGGATGTCTGTGAGGCGGCGAGAAGCACCTCTTTGTCTCATGATTCGAGACATTGCTATCTTTCTTTGACTTGATGAGTGCGTTCCTGAGCCGCCGGAGATCATATGGCGAAGTTTTGGGAGTTGTTACATTGCTGCTGTCGCACTCGTCGCACTCATCGCTCAGGTTATTGACGTTTACCAACTCGTGCGTATCAAGACCGACAAGCTCACGACATAGCTTGCGACAACTTTGTTAAATACGTCTTGCAACTCTCCCTATGTTTCACGCTTACCTATGCGTGACAATCGATATCAAACGACAATTGTGCACGTGAGAGGGAGTTGGTCATTAAGTCTAAAGGTTATCATAACATCTACAGCCTTGCAACAGCGGTAAAATACGCGTTTCAACACCCGAACATGCTTCTTATGCGGAGCTGAGAGCTTCTAATAGTCCAGAAGCCTCTTCCACGACTTCTGTAACACTCTTTGCAGCATCTACAGGCAGCACATCCGTCTCTGATACATCAGCAACCTCCCAAATAGCAAGCTGGCTCTCCACCATATCCTCCTTCATGTAATGATCACTCCTCTCTTGCATTCGTCGCACCATCTCTTCCTGATCAACTTGTAAACCCACAAAGACAACTCGTACTTGATCATTCATCAGAGCGCGGAACTGGTCGCGATATGACTTCTTCAGGGCTGAGCAGGATAGAAAGACACACTCATAATCTTCATTGGTGATAATATCCAGCGCGCGCTGCCCGAGACGAGCGATCCATGGAGCACGGGTGAGGTCATCGAGGGGTGTGCCGGCAGCCATCGATGCAATAGCATCTTCAGTGTGGAGCTCGTCACCTTCGATAAAAGGTACTTTGAAGCGGGCGCTGAGATGTTGTCCAATGGTGCTTTTGCCGCTGCCACAAGGCCCGGCGACTACAACGACCTGCTTGGTTGGTTTCCTCGCAACTCCAGGAGTATGTGATTGCCAAGCAGCAGCTTGGAACTGTTTGACAAACGTCTTTACAAACAGCGGATCTAGCACAGGTGCTTCATCGAGTGAAGGAGAGAAAGTCCTGGCCACGCTGGTCTCATATGTACGGGAAGGGCCGAAAGTATCCTTGTCGTATTTGGACGCAAAGAAGTCAGCCAGTTTGATGGGTGGGTTCGCCACAGCGTCCTGACTTGACTCACGAAGCCTGCGCACCCACTCTTTGGGTTCAACCTCATCGAACTGGAGGCCAGCTTCTCGGAGGGCGGGAAGTAGATCATCGGTCCAGGAAAAGCTCTTCGCGTTGGTCACATTCGCCACCACAGAGCCGGCGTCGCTGAGTGAGATCTCTGTCACGGCTTTCGCGATAACGTCAACAGGTGTCCAACTCGGCGATTCTTGGAGTCGGGGTAGCGCGCCAACAGTAAGTGCAGACTGTATCATAAGAGGTATGGCTTCAGTCGCGTTCCACACGCCATGTACGGTGTCCGCAACGATCTGACCGACGCGCAGAACACGCGCTCGAACACCAGTCTTTTTCGCCGCGGCCAAGCATAGGTGCTCTGCAACACATTTGCTCTGAGCGTATCCCATTCCTTGAGCCCAGTTAAGCTCCGCTAGCTTCTCGGGTGTGTGCAAATCAGGGCATCGTGCGACAGTGCTGACAGAAGAACAGAAGTCGAAGGATGCAGGCTTGATGGACGATGTAGCAAGACATAGGTCGATTAGATGTCGCACTCCAGCAATGCAGTCCTTCTCGAATGACATCAAGCTCTTGTTAAAGTTGACGCTCCATGCGCAATGAATGACACTAGCAAGACCTGAGGCTACGCGTGCATAAGTTGTGTCGTCTAGGCCGAGATGGGGTTCAGATAGATCAGAAGGTATAGCTTGGATTTTCCTGCGTGCAGAAAGTGGTAGGGTATGATATACTTTCCGCTGAATGAGGGATTTTTGGACCCGATGAGCTGCTGCCTTGTAGTCTGTGGCGCGTACAAGGCAGTAAACCTTGTCGATATCCGAACGTTTGACCAGCTGTACAAGAACATGAGCGCCTAGCGAGCCGGTCGCACCAGTAAGCACAGTCTGTCTTCTATCAACCAGCTCGAACTTGGTATATTGCGTGATAAGGTCTTGCATCTGTGCGGCGGCTGACACAACCTCAACTTCTTGCCCGGTCTGTAGTCTGTAGAGATGTGTGGCGAGAGATGAGATAGACGGATGCTCAAATACTACGTTTTGGCCAAGCTTGTTGGAACCAATATCGACAGTCTTGAGGATGTCCATCCGTATCTGAATCGATTGTAATGAATCCAGTCCCAGCGAGAAGAGATCTGTGGTACACTCGATGTCGCTTGCCTGCGGCAAGTGTTTGGCCAGGATCGTACGCAAGTGGTTTTCCATCTTCAGAAGAGTGAATGTCTTCAAATCACCGCCAGATGATGCAGCCACATCATATACGTTGTCAATCTCGGTAGCAAACGTTTTGTAAAATGCTTGCCTAATCACACTGCCTTTGTCCGTGCGTGGAAACTGACAACCATATGGCAAAACTTGAATCATATCCCTGGAGATCCTTGCGTATGCTTCCGCTGTTTGGTTCGCAGCTTCAATGACGGGCCATATCTCATCGATGACCCTTGCAGACGACATGCCTTCAATTGCTGGGACCACAAGGATGCCAAGGTATGGTCGACCTGAACCAAAGACAACCGTCTCCGTCACGGCTCGATGCGAACGGATTGTTCCTTCCATCATGACCGGGTTGAACTTCTCGCCGTTCACCAGGACGATTGTATCGTCCAGGCGCGCAATGTATTTCCAGGCCTTATCAATCGTGGGGTGAGGTTCAAATAGATCTTTCGTGGCGTAACTACCGTCTGGTAGATTGGAGGCAACCTTTGCTGGCCAACCTGGCAAGACTGTGCATTCGTAGAGGTTCGGTCCGCGTGGTACCCACCGAAGATACGGAGATAGCTTCGGTGACTCACGAACATAATTCCACACCTTGTCGTCGGCAGGTCGGAAGGATGTCATGAGCTGGCCGACTTCAGTACTAATTATCGTAAGCCTGGGTATGTTGTAAAAGGTGAAAGAAGAAACTTACGCTCCATAATGGCCGACAAGATTGACTCCGCTGTTCACCAGTAGATTGCCCAGAGTGTCTGGACAAGCACTTCCTCCGTACATGACAATCTTGAGTTGTCTCAATAGCTCGATTCCCTCATCCGATTCGGAAAGAAGCTTGAGAGCATATGGCACGCCGTAAAAGATCTCGAATGTGTGCTGCCTCAAGATCGTGGACAGATAAGACTGAGTCAGGGGTAGATCGGCGTTGTAGATATGGATGGATTTGCCACTGTATATCGCACGAAAGAAGTTGCAGATTCCGTGATTGTGGTATAAGGGAAGAGTGATGAAGGCTTTCATATCCATGCTGATGGCATAGTTGGCGATTGCACTCTTCTGTGTCTGATAGATTGGCTTCGGTAGCCCAGTGGAGCCTTTCCTAGCGTCAGCTCAGGTGCCATAGACGGGTAAATACAACGTACCACTAGAGTGTATTATGTAGATATTATTCGAAGTTTCAACCGCGTGATCCAGCTGATAGTCAAGACGGGTATCCGCATGGACTTCGATAGGAAAGTTGTAGGTGCTGAATCCTGCAATCTCGCCGATGTGCAACGTCGGGATATTTGTCTGTGCGTCGGCTGCAGACTGCGCAAACCGGGAGTCTGCTAACAAATATGTAGCACCAGTTGTTGTAACAAGAGAATCAATGGCGGCTTGGGATATTCGCGTTGAAAGAAACAGCACAGTGTGTCCGAGCTTGGTAAGCGCAAGCATTGTCACGATGTAGTCCAAATTACTTGGCCCTAGCACCGCGACCGTGGTAGGCTTCTCTGCAGAGCTGGATCGTGTGGGGATGAAAGCCTGATAGTGTCTGGCTACTCGGTAGGCGAACACGTCTAACTGTTGCATTGTATAGTCTACAAAGTCAACTCCAGAGCGCGGATACGCCACAATGGTGACATGGGGATCGCGCCGCGCACGATGTCGCACAAGCGCGTCGACAGTTTGTATTGAGGACTCTTCAGGTTGGGGAAAGTCATGGCGCAGAGGTTTGGATGTAGACAGTGGTGTCGACTGCCCTAGGGGTGCAGCGATAGCGATCTGAGCTGGCGCCATGGCTGTAGTGGCTTGTGACAATGAGTACTTCGAGGAAAGACGAAGAAGTGGCTGTGGTTTCAAGAGCAGACATGATGAGGGCTGTTGTATTAGTATTCGCCGACTCGTTTCGCGCGGCTGCTTTCCCCAGCTTCAACCTCGAACGTCGGGACGATGTGGAGACTTGCATTGCATATCACGTCGGATCGGATTCGCTTCTGATTCGTGCGGCGAACTTCGTTGGCTTTCGGTAGCATCGATGATTCGTTGCCGATCAAGAGCCGGAGCAGAAACCGGCCTTGGTGCAAAACTACTTTCCCCGCAACTAGCTTTCTCCAGAAAATCGAAAGACTGGGGTGGCTTTGTTTCTCCGCAAGCCAGCTGCTATCAACATGGTGTGCCGCAACCAGGATCTTGTGTATAAAGCTTCTGGGATCCGACATTGCTCAGGGTTATCTCACTCCGATCTTCGCATCGACCTTGTGTTCTCATCTCGTTTTCCTGACACGTCTTCGCTATCCACTGGTCACAATGTCTCCGTCAATGGACAAGAGCGAGATCCAATACATCGACGAGAAGGCGGAATCGATCGAGTCGCCGAAACCACATCAGATCATCAAGATCGACAACTTCCAAGTGCTAGGTTTGGCACCTGAGGATGCGGATTTCTACATCAACTACTCGGATGAGCAGAGGAAGAGAGTAATCCACAAGGTAAGCAACGACTGTTGTTGCATTTAAGTCGAGCCCTGTTAACAGCCTGAAGGTGGACATCCGCTTAGTCCCAATGCTTGCGATCCTTTATCTTATATCTCATATCGATCGAGCGAACATCGGAGTAAGTGTTGCATATGCGCGCAAGTCGCAATGGGTAGCTGGTTCAGCCTTGGGGCTTACTCTGACGTCCGACAGAACGCAAAGATCGAAGGCATGGTCACTGACCTCGGTCTCGATGGGGTGCAATGGAACATCGTTCTATCGGTGTTCTTCGTGCCATACATCCTTCTTGAAGTTCCCTCGAATATTCTTTTGAAGAAGTTCAAACGTCCATCCTACTACCTTGGCATACTTATCGTATGTTGGGGCATTGTTATGACTTCGATGGGCGTGGTGAAGAATTTTGCTGGGTTGCTAGCTACTCGTATCCTTCTCGGCGTGTTCGAGTAAGTCTTACGTGTCAGCGATATGTACTCTGCTGACGAAAGACAGGGCTGGATTCTTCCCGGGCGCAATCTATCTCTGCTCTTACTGGTACATGCCAAAGGATCTCGCGACGAGAATCTCGTACTTCTATTGTGCATCGGCACTGTCTGGAGCATTCAGTGGTCTGCTCGCTGCAGCCATCGCCAAGATGGATGGCGTCGGAGGATACGAAGGTTGGAGATGGATCTTTCTTTTGGAAGGCATTGTTACTGTTGCACTCGGTGTCTCGTGCTTCTTCCTCTTGATCGACTCCCCTGCCTTGAGCGGACGATGGTTGAAGCCTGACGAGATCCGCTTCCTCGAGCTCCAACGATTCATCAAGGACGGTGGAAGGTTTGGAGAGGAAAAGCAAGAGAGTTTCAAGTGGAGCGACTTGAAGGCCGTGTTATGCAACTGGCGCCTTTACATGCAAGCATACATCCTGCTCTGCATATCGGCGTGTTCATACGGTACGTACAACTTGGAGTAAAGAAGAATACTCGCTGACTGGCATACAGGAACGAAGTTTACCTTGCCCACCATCACGAAGAGTATGGGATTCGACAACACCAATGCTCAACTCATGACGGTGCCGCCGTACGTGGCCGGCGCTTTGAGTTCGATTTTCTTCGCTAAGCTCTCTGATCGGTTTTACTGGCGTTTGCCGTTCATCGCTATTCCCCTTTCCTTCATCTTTATCGGGTACGCTGTGGTCATTTCATTCGATGGCGACCTCGGTGGCAACATCGGTCCGGCTTTCTTCGCCATCATCTTGACCTGCATGGGTATCTACCCCATTCAACCGGCCGGAAGCAGTTGGGCAGCCAACAACCTTGCCCCTTCTTCTCGCCGTGCCATTGGCGTTGCCTTCAACATCTGCGTTGGCAACATCGGAGGCGTCATTGGCAGCTATATGTACCTCGAAAGCGAGAAGCCAAAGTACTACACTGGTTTTGGGCTGTCGTTGGCATTCGGCGCGACTGGTTTCATTGTTGCGTTCCTGTTGGAGTTGTCGTACAAATGGGGCAACACGAAGAAGGCAAGGCTCAGCGAGGATGAGATCCGGGCAAAGTATTCAGACCAAGAGCTACTGGACATGGGTGACAAATCTCCGTTGTTCCGATACACTTTGTAAGTGTAATGAGATGGGACGAGGAAGTTGACGAAGTTGGATGGATGGGTGCGATATAGAGAGTTGGGTTCTGTTATTGTGTTGGCAAAGGCACTAATACGAAGCTCGACAATCTCGGGTACTCCGAGTCTCAACTAATACCGAAATGTACCCCGAAGGTACACACTATCTTTGTACGATTGCCGTGATAACCCTATACACATAGAATACCTCCTGGCGACATTTGGGTCCTAAGAAGATGTAAGCTCCAGCATAATGTCGCCTCCCGACCATTAAGATACGTCGTTCATCCAGGCGATCTCCAAGTCATCTATCTCGGGAAAAGGGCCAAATGCGGATGCATCAAGATCAAGCCAGTCGGTCGTTTGCCAATCGTCCAGGAAGGTTTGCAGTCCTGGTGTAGTCACGTCCATTGGGCTGCTACCAAAGATCGGCCGCAAGGCTTCCAAAGCAGAATCGGAAATGTCTCGTGTCGTTTCGCCACCTAACGATACAGAAGCTCCAGTCTCACCGGTGTTTGACGATGAATGTGCCTGCTCTTGACGTGACCTTGCTGTTTTCCGCTTTGCCTCTGTACGGAGTTCCTGCAGGATGATGCTATAGCGTCGTGAGGGCGAATTTGAGGCAGTTGCCTGGGCAAGATGTTGCATACAGCTCTCAGCTTGATCGAAAATTCTGCGGGTGTCTTCCGCCGAGGCTGTGTTGTGGGTGCTCTGTTGAATAGCCCATACATACACTACTACCAAAGCACAGAAGCATACATAGTGAGTCCACCAGAATGCGTGAAACAAACGGCCCTCTCGCGCCATACGGTCTACTGCTTCCAATACTGATCGTGCAGCTGTAAGACACTCTGCAAGGCTGTCTTTCGCGAGGATATGCATCTCAGTATTGCCGCGTCTAGTGTTCTTCAGGAGAAACGGCCGATGCGCTAGGATGACAGCATGGCAATAAGAGAGCTTGAGTGCCGTTGCCTGTCGCCGGAAAGTTGGGATTAGGCTACTAGGATTGACAGCACCAAGGAATGGTGGTAGCGATGCTTTCCACTGGCGTAGCTCTGCGGCTAAGCGATGAGAGGCTGCAAGTCGAATCTGATCTGGCACCTGATGACGGAGCTTGGTAAGTATGACGTCTTGTAAAGTAACGTCATTTAACATACTGGTTTGATGGAATAGACTTCTCGCGATATCTTCTCGGCAATTTGTGCTAGTCGGGCATGATACACCAGCGACTCTATATGGCAGTCATCTGTGCTTGTAGATTTTGGACCTGTACTAGTCATATCTTCGTCGTTGACAGCGGTGGGGAAATCTTGGTCGATATCTTCATCGTGATAGTGCCTGTCAAAGCGGAGGTACGGTGTCAGTGTATGTCTCACATGCATTTTATAAAGCCCCAACGTACCTGGGCCTGCCGAAAATAACGCCAAGGTACTTGTCTAGGGTGTAGGCTACCCAGAACGTGCGTTTTCTGCACTGTTCGTCGATGTAATCCCGTCTGGTGGCGGTTGCTTGTCGTTTGCGATCGTCTCTTCGATGCAACCCCAAAGCAGAAATAATCTGCAAAGCGTGCCCAAACGTATACCATGCCTGGTTGAAACGACATGACATGAGAAGATACAAGACCTGTATAAGCCTGGATTGTGCTGACTCAAGCTTTGGGATACCAGTCTCGGCTTGGGTCAAACGTGAAGCTTCTATAAACAGCATGTCGCTCTGCAACTGCATGTCGGGTTGGGTCACTGGTGATAGACCAATCTCTCCACTTGCCTTCTCTTCATGGAATGATGCGATCGCCAACACTGACAACACTGCCGAAGTCTTGGCGCGACCAAGACCTATATCAACATGACTTGTAAGTGAGATGTTTTTTTCTCTCGAGTTGCAGTCGTACATACCATGAAACAGGGCTCGGTGCTGTTTTGCGTTATCAGACACAGTCTCCAACCACGCTTCGACAGTAGGTCTATGTAATAGCCGATAGGTCGCAATACACACGTCGAAGTACAAATGGAGAAGCTGACGACTGCGATCTAACGAAGGCATTTGCACTTCTCCAGTCTCTAGGAACGGCTTGTCACCCGCGCTCATCAGCAACTGACGGTCTTCTGTGGACCCCAGCCCATTTACTAGGCTAGTTTCCTTATTGGAGATACGCCGCCACGCGCGATTCAAGAATGAAAGACCAGATGTTGAGTCGGAGTACTGGCCAGCTACCTCGAGCCCAGGAGAAGCCCGCGAAGGAGGTTCCGTCTCCTCACCAACGACATTCATAGTTGGTGCGACACTGAGTATAGCATGAGGATAGACTGGCGCCGACGCGGGCTGCTGAGCATTCACAGCTGCTGGGTGAACTGGGCGTGGGGAGACTACTTTGCCTCGCGAGTAGGCGGCTTCGTACTGGCATGTCAACCCCCGGCGGGTACAGGTCTCGCACGGCTGGTCGCCGGAGCACTTTGACTTCCTCGCCTTGCATACATCGCAGGCTCTCGTAACTTTGACCAGTCGTTGCCTCGTATTATTGCTGCTTGGTGGGACGTCAAGGCTCCGCTTCCGGGGTACCGTGCCGCTCGGTGCTGCATCATTAGACATTGTGGAGTAGGAAAGATGAGGCAAATCCGCGTTCCGTCCGAAGAATCCGCTGCCAAGCTTCGGAACGCTAACCGACCACCCGATAGGTACTCCAGATTTCACGGGTGCAACTTGAAGGCATGAATCAAGCCGTTGGGAAAATTAGCCGCAACCTCGGGAGGCACTGCTACGTTTTGTGCTAGCATTGTTCTTTCCGGAGTCGTTTCCGGTCGCTCCTTCCGATACTTGCGTCTCTCCGTCGGACATGGAGAACTTGAGTTGGATGTATATATCGTCCAGATGGCTGTACCCCATTTCCAAATATTGGCCACTCTTTCAGCATTACATTACAGAAGTCTAGATCGATTCTGATCGCGCGCGGTGTTACCTCTCATCACGTCGCATGAAACCACAACCAGCATCATGCCTATCCCTACACATTTCACCCTCAACACAGGCGCGCAGATACCGGCTGTAGGCTTCGGCACATGGCAAGCGAAGCCAGGAGAAGTCGAACGCGCTGTCGAGACGGCGCTCAAAGCAGGCTACCGCCACATTGATTGCGCTGCCATCTACCGCAATGAAGCCGAAGTAGGTGACGGCATAAGGAGGAGTGGTGTTCCTCGCTCTGAAATCTTCCTTACTGGCAAGCTTTGGAACACCAAACATGCGCCAGAGGATGTGGAAGCTGCCCTCGACAAGTCGCTTCAAGATCTAGGCGTCGAGTATCTAGATCTGTTCCTGATGCATTGGCCAGTGTATGTCACATACCCTTTCCATTGCATACACATGATACTGACACAGATGAAGTGCATTCAATGGTGCCACAGGCAAGTGGTTTCCACTACGCGAGAGTGGTGTGTTTGACCTCGTAGACATTGATCCTGCAACTACATACAAAGCCATGGAGAAGCTACTTGACACCGGCAAGGTTCGCGCCATTGGCGTATCTAACTTCACTATTCAACGCCTCAACGATCTTCTATCGAAGACTGATGTTGTGCCGGCGGTAAATCAGATCGAAGCACATCCATACCTCCAGCAGCCTGCTCTCTTCGATGTTTGCAAGAGCAAAGGTATCTTGATTGAAGCCTATTCGCCTCTTGGAAACAACCAAACAGGGGAGCCGCGGACTGTCGATGACGAACTAGTGGGCGTCTTAGGCCACAGATTAGGTATGGACGGCGGCCAGCTGCTTGCGAGCTGGGGTATCCAGCGGGGCACTGTGGTCCTGCCCAAGAGTGTCACACCGAGCAGAATCAAGAGTAATTTGCAGGTCAAGGAATTACCGAAGGATGCTTTCGATGAGCTGAGCGGTCTGGAGAGACACAAGCGGTTCAACGTACAGTCGCGATGGGGTTTCGACATTTTCGAAGAACTAGGCCAGGAGCAGGTGCGGAAAATTGCGGAAGATTGCGCTCAGGAGAACAAGACGAAATTTACAGTTTAGAGGATAACGCAGATCAAGAACCTAGAAGTCTATAAAGCTGTCAAAATATATGAACCCTTTGCTCACACACTATTGTAGGCTGCAGTAGTAGTTCTGATGTTGCTGTATCTGTTCAATTTCTTTCATGTGTATGGCAAGAGAGTAGTCTGGCATCTACCGTTTGCAAATGCAGCTACAACCACGTATATCTAAACGTCATGGTTCGTCAATTTGTGGACCCGCGGAATTTGACACGCATGATGGTTTTGTCGACAGGCCTGGCTGTGATGGACATTGTCTATCCAAGAGTTAGTCGCTTGCACTACTTTGTGAAAGGGGATAGTAGCTTACGTTGATCAAATCAGACTTTGTTTTGTATTTGCCCTTCCGGTCCATGACAGGCTGACCCATGTCATCTGTATCGACTTCTCCCAATCCGACCTTGACGAAATCATATCGTCGCATGACGCATGCCAGAATCACGCGAGCCTCCATGTTAGCAAGTTCCTGGCCAATGCAATTACGCGGTCCCCGCTCAAAGGCTCTCCATGCGCTAATGGGTATCTTGCTCTCGCCAGCAGTTGGTCCGTCGTCTTCGGTTGAAGCGCTGCTGGTATCGGAGTCACCAACCCAGCGCTCAGGGACGAACTCGTTTGCTGTGTCTCCGTACACTTTGGGATCTCGCTGAATAAGGTGATGGCACAAGTATATGACGCATTTGTCGACGCACACGTCGTCTCCGTCCGAAGTGCGCAATTTGAAGCCGTTGTGTGACATTCGTGCCGATCCTGCTGGAGGCCAAAGTCTCAAAGCTTCTTTGATGCATGCAGATGTGTACTTTAGCGCTTTCATGGTCTCATCCGGTCGCTCGAGGAACACCTCGCTTGGTTCGGAGTCGGCGAAGACGGCATCGTGTTCCGCACGAATCTTTGCGAGGCAATCTGGATGTATTGAAAGGGCATAAAACAGTCTCTGTAGGAGGATAGCAGTGGTATCGTGTCCTGCGAAAAGGAACGATTTCACTGAATCTGCGGTACTCTGCAAGATATATGGAGTCAGCTCGTCAACACCTTCTAGTGCCAGCGCCAGGACCGATCGGTCTTTCTTTCCCTTTGTATCGGAATGCTGAGCGTCCTTGATGTCTGCGAATTTCTCCAAGATACACTTCTTGACGGCCGAGTCGAGCCGTTGGCTGTAGATGTACTTCTTGACGCGCAAAGGCAGGTTCAACCAGGAAGCCATCAGACCGTTGTCACCAGTGTATAGAGCCTTGAGCGTGCGGAAGTTACGAACGATATCATGGGCCTGTTCGCTATCGTCCTGGGCCCTACAGTCAATGTTTGTGACTACATCACCAATGATGTCAAAGGTAACGTCTGTGCAGTAACTCTCCATCTCGACTGCAACGCCAGAGGTCGCCAATGCGTCGAGCCTCTTTACAAACGTACAAGTCTTGTCTACGACAACCGGAAGTAGGGTAAGCAAATGCTGCGGCGCAAAGCCAGGGTTGAATGTCTTGCGAAGCCCTCTCCAAGATTCGCCGTTCTCGCTGATCAAAGAATATCTACCAATAAGCTCTCCAAGTCCTTGCTGAACAGTTGGAGATTTGGTGACACTATATTGCTGCGTTTTGCTGGCTCTTGAAACCTGCTCGGCCATCTCATGTGATGCAACGAGAACGAGTGGGTATTGCACAGGTCTCGTGTCGAAAAACATGTATTCAGGGCTGCCTTGGGCATTCCATATATTTTCAAACACATAGTCTGCCTGCTGTCAGTGGAGGCCAGTGACTAGGACGTGGATCCTACCCGGGTGAACGGTACTGCTGAATCCAGCTCTCCTGTATTCAGCCGCGATATGACCAAGGTGTCCAAAGAGGAGATTAGATGACAGCTTGCCGGGGATATGCGCATATCGTTTGAAGCGCCATTGGCTTATCTGGAGGTATACAAGCCATGCGACAGCTGTGACAAGCGCTAGCACGGTGTACGAAGGATACGACATGACCTGCTACCGTGCAAGGGTGGCCCACAGTTACCACTGACAACTACTGGAGTCGTGTAGGAATAAGTAACGTGGTATAACAGGCTGGCCTGAGAGTATGCGTGTGGTCGTGCGGCTTACGGTGAGTAGAGTCGGGCGTTCGTGCTCGGACCATCGGGCTTATGATGAGAAATCGATGATGTAGGCCCCGACATACGGACGAAATCACCAGCGGACAGGCCGTTCCGGAAGCTACGCGCAGTATATGAAGTAGCTGGTAACGCTGTTGTTTGTAGTACACAAGAACATCCGAACCCCACCATGACGGTCGTCTTCGAAGCCGTACCTGCACCATCCCAGGCGCGTCTCGATGCCTCGCTGAACGACGCGCCTCTGGACACAGAGAAGCTCGTGTCGCAACAATCGCCAGCAACACAAGAGAAGGCCAAAACGGTGCTGTACCTGGCATATGGCTCGAATCTGTGCAACGAAACCTTCCGAGGCGTGCGCGGCATCCGTCCGCTCTCACAAGTCAATGTCCTTGTTCCCTCGCTGAGGTTGACCTTCGACCTGCCCGGTATCCCATACAAAGAGCCCTGTTTTGCCAACACAGCGCTGCGGGAGCCGGACGCGCAGGACTACCACAAGGATCGATGGCACAAGGGCTTGGTGGGCGTCGTGTATGAGGTGACGCTCTCTGATTACGCGCACATCATCGCAACAGAGGGCGGAGGGAGTGCCTACAACGATATCCTAGTTGACTGCCATGTGCTGCCACCCTCTGACACGGTCCCCTCTACTCCCGATTCGAAGCCGTTCAAGGCCCACACACTCTTCGCGCCCATTATAGACCGAGAAACCAAACAACGAACCAACGACCGTGTAACGCGACCCGATCCTAACTATGCGCAGCCTTCGGCACGATACCTCAAGCTCATAACCGATGGCGCCGCCGAATGCAAACTTCCCGACGAGTATCAAGAATACCTAAACAATATACGCACATACACAATCACAACCAAGAAGCAGGAAATGGGAAAGGCTATTTTCCTGGCCATCTGGATGCCCTTTGTCATGTTCATCTTCACAATGGGGAGGAAGCTGCAAGACAAGAAGGGGCGGTCACCTTGGTGGCTGGCAAAGCTCAGTGCCATGATCTTTGCGGGTATGTGGACCAGTTACGACAGTGTTTTCAAACGAACTTTTGGCGATGGAGAGAGGACGATAGGTGATTGTACATTGCCGACGATCAATGCCAGGAGTAGAACGACCTCTTCAACGAGAGAAGATGCGGAAAAGGAAGGCTTATTGGAAGAGTTCGGGAAGACTATATACGAGCCGCGGTCAACGAAAGCCTGAACACTAATAAAATCCTTCCGCCTATGTGGGCATTTGTATACGTTCAACGATGAAATTGAGCGATAAGCATCCTCGTGTGAAGTTGGCGCGCTTACAAAACGTGCTTAACAGGAGCGAACACATTTTGCAAGTCCAATCTGGGATCCACCCTTTAATTGGAGCATCTCCATTATCCCAGCAAGGCCGGCGAACACCGACAGTCGCCGTCAGACTCCGATAGAAAACTAGTCCTAAACAGCCCGTCTTTCGAAAAAGCCAAAAACTTATATCCAATCTCTTCATCTAACAATTCCAACGTACGAGACTTCTTCTTCGTATATCAAACACCATGTGCAAATCTCCCACTCACACGTTCTTGGCGGACCTCCCAAAATGCGAACATCACCTCCATCTAGAAGGCTGCCTCAGTCCAAGCCTTCTATTCACTCTAGCGTCTAAGAACAACATCACCTTGCCATCGCCATCTGAGGATGTCTCTTACACGTCTCCTGCAACACTCACCGAACGCTATTCACATTTCACGAACCTCGATGACTTCCTGGCGTACTACTACCGTGGCATCGCAGTCGTAGTGCACCAAGAGGATTTTGAGATGCTTGCATGGGAGTATTTCACCACTGCAGCCAAGGACGGAGTTCGTCATGCGGAGGTTTTCTTCGACCCGCAGAGTCACACGGAAAGAGGAATTGATTTCGATGTTGTGGTACGTGGCTTCAACGCCGCAAGAGTACGGGCGGAAAAAGAGCTGGGAATAACGAGTTGTCTGATCATGTGTTTTTTGAGGCATCTGCCTGCTAGTTCCGCGGCGGAGACCATGGCATTGGCCGTCAAGGGCGGGCACTTTGATGTTAAAAGCGACAGCCAGGAGCGCGCTATTACTGGACTTGGGCTGGACTCGTCAGAGGTTGGATTCCGCCCAGAACTCTTTGTGGACATGTATCGCGAGGGCGAAAAGAGAGGTCTACGGAGGACAGCTCATGCGGGTGAAGAGGGTGACCCAACTTACATTAGCGGAGCACTTGATGCGTTACAAGCCGAACGCATCGACCACGGCATCCGTCTCACAGAAGATCCCGAACTACTTAGCCGAGTGGTAAAAGAGGAGGTACTACTGACGGTTTGCCCTTTGAGCAATGTCTGCCTCCAGGCTGTGGAGAAGGTCAGCCAAGTGCCAATCAAGACATTTCTCGATGCAGGTGTAAAATTCAGTATCAACAGCGACGACCCAGCGTACTTTGGTGGATACATATTAAACAATTATTGCGCGGTGCAAGAGGCCTTCAACTTAAGCATGGAGGAATGGAGGACAATCGTTAGCAATTCGATTCACGGCAGCTGGATAGGAGAGAAGCGAAAGTCTGAACTATTGGGCCTGCTCGACGCTTGCATGAACAAGCATGCTTAGATTCGTCTTGAACTACGAAGCTTTTCGTTGGAGAAAGGCCTGGCCATCGGGCTATGGCGAAGGTCTTTCTTTGAATTGTACTTGATACCAAAAAGTATCCTGGAGCTACTTGCTGTAACTCTATCAAGATACCCACGAAAGAAGACAGTATATACTATCAAGGGTTGACATGTTGTATAGATGTGACACTTGAAGTCACAGAACAGACTCTTTTACACATCCGGCACAAGTTGGAAAGAACAAGCATCTTCGTAGTAAGAGGAGTGGCCGACGAAGAGCGTTGTAGTTGAGGGCCAAAGTAGAACTCAACGTTTCCGGTATGCTCATTTCAGAGGGTGCCCAGGATCCACGGCCATCTCATGTACCAGTACCGCTCAATAGCATGGGTCTAGATCGGGTCAGCACCATCCCAGGCTAGCAGTGATGTATCTTCGTACACATTCGTAGATGGTTCAAATAAACGAATCTTTCTGAAGTGCCCTTTAGATTCTGGTCGTTGCTCGTGGGTATCATATTCTTCCATAACTCTTGAAGATCTAGTCCGAGTCGTCGCTCACGTCCATCTCCATCTCCGCGTCCGAATTCTCTTCCTCTTCTTCCTCCTCCTCGCGCCCTCTCTTCTGGCCCTTGGCTGCGTCTTGCGCATTTACAGGTACTGCTTTCTCGGGTGCAGCACCGAAACCTGCGGGCTGTGCAGCTGCTTGTTCAGGCTCGTCTTCACGCTCAGGCTGGGGCATCTTGTAGGTCCCGTCCAGCTTGGCTACGGTGTCGGATTTGGTCTTTGCATACGCAATTTGCTGCGAATGTCAGCATGTCCCATATGGATTCATTGGCTGGAAACAGACGTACCATGTCCTTTCCAAAGAAAGTGAAGCCTTGCAGAGCGCGCATGGCCTGGGTTGAGGAATCAACGTCGCGGAACACAACATGCGCCTGGCCTCGCATCTTCATCGTCTTGAGCGCAACAATATCGAGGATGACGCCATAGGTAGCAAACAGCATGTACAAGTTTCGCTTGAGGTCTTCTTTTTGTAGCTTGTCGGGGAGGTTGCGCACGTATAAGCTGTTGGACGTCAGCACATGTTCTTGGGCGTTGGAGGGACTGACTCACGTCCTGTTTGGGATACCCTCTTTGGAAACGGCGACGGTGCCTGGCGGTCCTCGCGTAGAAGTAGCCATACTGTATGTGATGTGCGACAGCGTAGGCGTCGGTGGTGAAGAGCTCCCCGCTGAAAAGCGCGGCCAAGCCAAAATGTTTGGGGACGTGCATGGCGGCCGCCGCGGTCTCTCCAACGCGACCGCTCACCCACCAACCAAGTACGCGCTCACTACCTTCACCATCTGGAAGAGGAGGATTGCGGTATGGAGATTGCGTCGCATACTTTACGAGAGCTGTGGAGCAACCGCTAACACCAATACTCTGCCATCTTTCTAAGGCCGTCCGTCCTAACACGACTTCACCATGGCATCACCAGCTGTCCTAAGCCCACGGCCGAACCCGCATGGCGCACCATTCCAAGATGCGACCAAGGCCAGAACTCTCGCGCTCCCAAGCCATACGACCAAGCCCACAAGGTCACCGGCTATACCACCGGCGGCACCTATGGTACGAGACGGCGGCATGGATCTCGCTGAGCAAATGAACGACCGCGTCCGCAGCCAGTTCGTCATGGGCAAGAAGCTAGGAGAGGGTACATATGCCGTCGTCTTCCAGGCTCACTATGTCAACAACCCCAAGAAGCTCGTCGCCATCAAAAAGATCAAGCTCAACGCCGAGTACCCCAACGGAATCGCCCCCGATGCTCTTCGCGAAATGCAGTTCCTCTTCGAGATCGACCATCCCAACGTCATCAAACTACACGACGTCTTCTCGAGCAAGGACCAGAACTTATCCTTTGTACTCGAACATCTACCTCTGGGAGACTTGGAGCAGCTATGGAAAAACAAGGAGATTACATATACAAAGGCGGATATCAAATCTTGGATGAACATGCTGTGTCAGGGAATCTGGTTCTGCCACGAGAACTTTGTCCTACATCGCGATATCAAGGGTAGCAACGCCCTGATTGCCGCCGACGGGACGGTCAAGCTTGCTGATTTTGGTCTTGCGCGGAGTTTTGCTGATCCAGGAACCAAGATGACTACCATGGTCATCACACGCATGTATCGTCCGTTAGAGCTGCTGTACGGTTGTTCGCATTACGGTGGCACGGCCGACATGTGGAGTATTGGCGTCCTGATGGCAGAATTGTGTATTCGCAACTGGTTCCTCTATTCCGACACAGATATTCAGCAAGTCGCCGTCATCTGCGAGAAGTTTGGAACGCCCACCGAGGAGACATGGCCAGGTGTCTCGTCTCTCCCGTACTACGTTGCGCCTGACAAACAAACCGGCCCACAAGGTTCCACAGCCTTCCGACAGACACGCCCTCGCGCTTGGTGGAAACAGCAATTCTCCACCCTGGGAGACGATGGATGCGATTTCATCAGAGGCTTGTTGACCTTGGACCCGATGAAAAGGTACACTGCCCGGAAAGCGCTAGAGGATAAATGGTGGACCAATGCACCCCGGCCCACAAAGAAGGAGAACTTGCCAAAAGAAGGCGGTGGGGCAAAGGCCATGGGCGAGGATTTGAAGCGGAGGGGAGGAGAGACGCCTACCAATGGTCGTGCGGACAAGGTAGCAAGAAAGCTTGACTTCGGCTCCATGGGGTAGATGCCCATTCCGACATCACCCGACAGCGGTTCGGTCTAGTGGATCCCTTCGATCTGACATGGGCGTTTGGGCGTTTGGAGCTCGGTTCAAGAGCACCTGCATACGGGTAAGGCTTGCCGTTTCGTCTAGGCTAGCCATGCTGCATTTCCTGGAGTCTGGGGCCCGTAGATAGCTTTTTTGTTCGGCGTATCAGCCGCCGAAGTTCAATGCACACACACACACAACACTGCATGCTTCCACTACATGTAAACTTCAAATAGTCGGTTACTTCTCCGCGGTTCCACAAACATATGACTCAGGTCAAAATTGTGCATAGGTGGTGTCTTTGCCACGTACTAGTTACAAGATGCATGTGGTTGCTCACATGCCATCTCGATCATATTCAATCGTAGTATATTTACTCCTGCACGTATCTAAGATAGTAGACACTCCGAGCGGCTAAAAATATAGCATGAGGCCATGGGAATAACCAATCAATCATGGGGATAAGTGGACGACGACAATGTCTTCCATGTTGTAAGCGCACTAAAAGGCAAGCACTCGGTGACAACATCACAGCTACACACTATAGTCAGAAATTGAAAGCCTTGCATATATATCAGCGTTGCCACTACTGAGCATAACCCCATAGAAAAAGGAATCTTTTGCAGAGCACACAGCACATTTCAAGGCAGCAGGTGAACATGTGTGAAGTTGAAATGGCACTCCAGCGCCGTGATTCGTTCGTTACTATCTAATCATTTCCATTCTTGGATTTCATAATTCTCATTAAAAAAACGCCAATCCTACATGTGATATGTTCACTTGACGAGCTTGCAGACCAGGTCGCCAGAGTCGACCGAGTCACCTTCACGCACAGAAAGGCCACTGACCTTTCCGGAGTGTGGTGCAGAGATGACCATCTCCATCTTCATGGCGCTGAGAATAGCAACAGGGTCACCCTTCTTGACTTCGCTACCGTCGTGGACACGAACCTCGACCAAGACACCAGACATGGGTGATCCGACCTGGCTGCTGTCTGTGGGGTCGGCCTTGGGTCGTGATACGTTCTCAATAGCGGCGTGCTGGTCCTCGACAGTCACAGTACGGGTTTCGCCGTTCATCTCGTAGAAGACCTCACGCAGACCAGTTTGCTCGGAAAGAGGACCAATGGCGAGGAGCTTGAGGATAAGAACCTTACCCTTCTCAAGCTCGACGTGGAACTCCTCGCCGATCTCAGGGCGCGACAAGAAGTAACGTGTAGGAAGAACGGAGAGATCTCCGTACTTGGTGGTCCACTTCTTGTAGTCCTCGAAGACCTTGGGGTACATGATGTACGATGCTACATCACACTCAGTAGCATCGCCCCACTTGGCCTTGAGCTCCGCCTTGATCTTAGGGATGTCGACAGGCTCAAGGTAGAGGCCAGGGCGCTTGTCCATCTTCCTTCGCTCACGGAGAGCCTGAGATCGGAGCGGCTCAGGGAATCCACCGTATGGCTGACCCATGAGTCCCTCGAAGAACTCCAAGACGGAGGACGGGAAGTCGAGTTGTTCAGCCTTGGCTAGGACGTCGTCGTAGGAAAGCTTGTTGGAGACCATGAACTGGGCCAAGTCACCGACAACCTTGGAGGTGGGGGTAACCTTGACGATGTCACCGAGCAAGTCGTTGGCCTGCTCGTATGCCTTCTTGGTCTGAGCCCATTGTTCACCGAGACCCTGTTGCGATGCTTGGAAGATAAGGTTGGTAAGCTGGCCTCCGGGAATCTCGTGCTCGTATACTTCAGGGTCAGGTCCGGTAAGACCAGCCTCGAAGGGCGAGTAGAGGAGACGAAGCTGGGCCCAGTATGCGTCCAAGTTACGGATCATGTGCGCGTCCAGGCCAGCATCAAAGTCGGTACCCTCCAGGGAGGAGAGGATGGCGCCCAAACTGGGCTGGGATGTCATACCGGACATGCTGTCGATGGCGGCATCAACAGCGTCCGCACCAGCCTCAGCGCAAGCAACCATGGATGCAACACCGGTTCCAGCAGAGTCGTGAGTGTGTACGTGGATGGGCAGGTTGGGGTACTTCTCGCGGATGGTGCCGATCAGGAGACGGGCAGCACGGGGCTTGAGTACACCAGCCACTAAAGGGGAAGTCAGCACATGTTTTACACGTATATCGCGTATTGAAAAACTCACTGTCTTTGATACCGAGGATGTGAGCACCCATCTTGACAATCTTGTCGACAACATCCAGGTAGTATTCCAGGTTGTACTTCTTCTTGGGATTAAGCATGTCACCACTGGAATATTGAGTTAGTATGTTTCGTATGCGCAATCCCTATATGTGAAACTTACCTGTAGCACACTGTTCCCTCGGCAACACCGCCGGCCTTGAGGACAGCCTTGACACCAACCTCAAGTTGTTCAACGTCGTTCAACGCATCGAAGACACGGAAGATATCGACACCGTTCTTCTTAGCTTGCTCACAGAAGTGGAAGATGGCGTTGTCGGGTAGCGAGGAGTATGCGACTCCGTTAGCACCACGAAGAAGCATCTGGAAGGGAATGTTGGGTACGAGCTTGCGCATCTTCCTAAGACGCTCCCAGGGGTCTTCGTAGAGGAAGCGCATGGCGACGTCGAAGGTCGCACCACCCCAGCACTCAAGAGCCCAAGCGTTGGAGAAAGCGTGGCTAGTCTCCTTGGCGATGTTGAGCAAGTCAACAGTTCGGACACGAGTTGCGAGTAGTGACTGATGGGCATCACGCCATGTGGTGTCCATGATCAAGCATCCCTTGTTGGCACGAACAGCCTTTGCGAATCCCTCAGGACCGTCCTTGAGAATAACATTCCTCCAACCTTCGGTACAAGGGGCGGATGTGTCGACCTTCTTGCCGCTGTTGTCGTGAATGGCCGGGATGGGGATAACGCCCTTGAACTTGGGCTCGCCGATCTGGCCCTTGATCTGGCTACCATTGACAGCGAGGTCACCAAGGTATGCGAGGAGCTTCTGAGCACGGTTCTGAGAGCCGATCAAGTCGAAGAGAGCGGGTGTGTCGTCGATGAAGGTTGTCCAGCATTGTCCGTCAACGAAGGTGGGGTGAGTGAGGAGCTTGATCAAGAAGGGGATGTTGGTCTTGACGCCACGGATACGGAACTCTACTAGAGCACGTAGCATCTTTCGGCGGACGATCTCGTATGTGGAACCACGGCAAGAGCACTTGACCAACATGGAGTCGTAGTGAGCTACAAACGAGGACGGTTAGCAGAGGTATCTGGCTGAAAGGTGGGTAGTAATTACGTGTGATGATTGCTCCAGCAAAACCGTTACCACCATCGAGACGGACTCCGTTACCACCAGCAGAGCGGTAGACCTCGATCTTTCCAGTATCGGGTGCGAAGTTCTGAGCGGGGTCTTCTGTGGTGATTCGGCATTGGAAGGCAAAGCCTCGTGTAGAGATGTGGTCTTGAGTCAGGCCAAGCTGCTCAAGAGATGCACCAGCTGCAATCTGGATTTGTGCGGCGACAATGTCGATACCGGTGACTTCCTCGGTAATAGTGTGCTCGACCTGGATACGGGGGTTGATCTGCGGAATATTCAGTAAACATATTCAGTACACATTGGTATAGAATACTAACCTCGATAAAGTAGTAGCGATTTTGCTGGTCGACCAAGAACTCAGCAGTTCCGGCGTTCCTGTACTTGACACTCTGTGCAAGCCTGACAGCGTCGGCAAGAATAGCATCACGGGTCTCAACTGGAAGATCTTTTGCGGGAGCAATCTCGACGACCTTCTGGTGACGACGCTGGACACTGCAGTCACGCTCGTAGAGATGGACGACGTTGCCCTGGTTGTCACCGAGAAGCTGGACTTCAATGTGCTTGGGCTTGTCGAGGAAGCGCTCGACGAAGACTGTTCCGTTACCGAAAGCCGATTTGGCCTCTGAAGTTGCGCGCTCGAACGAGTCCTTGAGGGACTCTTGTTCGCGTACTACACGCATACCACGGCCACCACCACCGAAAGCGGCCTTGATGATGATGGGAAAGCCATATTCGTCAGTGAAGGCCTTGACATCCTCGAACTTCTCAACGGGTCCAGGGGTTCCTGGCACAACGGGGACGTTGCACTTGACAGCGAGTTTTCGCGCCGAGACCTTGTCACCGAGAGCGTCGATGGTGTCGGGAGAGGGGCCTACGAACTAGAATGAAAAAGTAAGCATGAATCGCATGTTGCATGGGTAAAACAAAAGCCATGCTCGCTGCGATGATCGGCGCCGGGCTGCTTGTTGATCGGCCCCGCCAATGCCTCGTCTTGCGCGGGAGCGATAGGCTCAACAGCGGCCGATAGCAGCTGCGACCCCTCCACGCAGTTTCGTCATAGCGTAAACAAAGCGGTAAAACTCACAATGAGCCCAGCCTTCTCAACGTTCCGTGCGAACTCTGCGTTCTCCGATAAGAAACCGTAACCGGGGTGAATCATGTTCACATTGTGTTCAACCGCGATCTTGATGATCTCGTCACCCGCCAGGTAAGCACCGACAGGTGTGTATTGGCCGCGGGCACCAATCTCGTAGGCCTCGTCAGCCTTTTGCCTGTGCATACTGAGGCGGTCCTCATGACTGTAGACGGCCACAGTGTGCAGTGACAGCTCGTGGGCTGTTCGGAAAATACGGATGGGGATTTCTCCTCGGTTGGCGACTGGGAGAGCTGTTAGAGCGCCCAAGACGCGACACATGAGCCATTGAGCTCCGTCGACTTACCGAGGAGCTTCTTCAGCTGCATGATAGAGCTGCTTGCACGCAGCTTGTGGTGAACTGAGTTCCTGTGGGGGTGGTGTTCGCCATGGTCCTCGTCGTAGTCATTCTCGTCAATGGCCGACGAGGCATTCTGGTCAACTGCAAGTGTCGTCATATCGAATGACGGCTATGTGTGTTGGGTAAGGGAAAGTGAAGAGAAGGAGAGGAGGAGAGGGGGAGGACTGGAGCCGCAGAAGAAGGCAGATACAGCGCCAATTTATTATGGTACCGACAATCGGATACCCAGGGTCTGCTACTTGCTACGACTCACTCGCTCAAAGCTGCAGAGCGCGAGTTTAATCCCAAAACAGATCCACACAGCCAAGCCAGATGGAAACACGGTGCAAAGACCCCGTCGGCCACCTGAAAAGCAACCAAGCTATCCATGGATAGCTGCATGCCACGACCTGGCCAGAGCTTCATGGCGCGGGGAGATAATGGAGGGGCACTGACAAGGTTCGCCGACGGAACCACCCCATGTGCGACACGATTAAAATTGTCACCGCGGTCATAGGCCCTGCCCCACTGCCTACCGGATTTCTCAGACATGTATAAAACCTTTTTGCTCTATCCCACGCCGACAAGGCACGTGGGACGGCTAGCCAAGCCACATGCATTTTGTCCGGTGTAATGATAGACGCTCAATGAAACCTTGACCGCTACCCACATCGACCCCCTCCAGCAAGCCATTCGCAAGCTTGATTCCATCCCGAGCTCCCATAGCAGTATCTGCCACATGCCGGGGATAGCTCGGCATCGCGGAAAAATGTCGTGCTTATCCAGCGCTTTGCTTCGGTGTAGTTTTCTATACCGAGCTTCCTCACGACCGTAGAGGGCAGAACCGCTATTTCGCCTCGTTCCTAGTATACTTTTCCGGCCTTCTCCTCGCTTGGTAGTCGCGTACCTGCATGGTTGCGAGGAGTATTCGGAACATGGGTCTAAGCTATTACCGACTGCGCATCATTCTCATGCGGTTCCGCCTCTCACTATTACTGATGACATTTAAGTTCTAGAGCAGACTTGGCTTTTGAAGACCCTGAAACCGGTGACGTTAGCTTACGATGGGTCGTTTGAGGCACTCAGTGGCTGCATTTGGAAACATTACTCGTAGTAGCCTAACTTGGCAAAGGCCATGCATGCGTACTGCGGGCGGAGCTTCAAACACTCGCTACTTGGCACATCAACACCCGAATCATTGAACTAATTATTCCGTGAGCACATACAGAGCTATCGAATGGCACTGAAGGTATTTTTTTGTGTTTAACGTCGGTAGGATCTAAAAAGAAAGCGTAGCATGTCTTGGTGTGCTGTTGGGGTACCTTTGATGTGTAGAAGAGTAGGTATGACTCGAGCGCTGATTGTGGATCCATGGGAGAAGAACTTCGCCTATCTATCAAGAAACCACGTCATAGATTAATCGAATCTTTACAATGGACCTAGGACACTTGCTTGGCGTGAGAGGCGTTGAGCAAGCCCACTTTGTGACTGTCTTCCCAATCGAGCTCTTGGTTTGGCGGGATCCTAGTGAGAAGGGCCTTTGCCTGTACCGTCTTAGATGTAATACAACTTTTGCAGTGGACTTTAGTCAACATCATCACCTTGAAGTTCGACCAGAACGGATGCAATAAGAGAGCTACCTGTCAAAGCACTATTCTGTAAGTGAGTTGCCAAGGACGTTCCGTATTGGACATGCGCGCTACTTTCGCCGGTGTAAACTTCTTGCAGCTCCTGACCTTCCTGGTGGTCTTTGTCCTGATTTTGGGATTCGTAAGTTCAGGAAAGGGAGGCCATACGACAAGCTACCGCGTCGAGTTTTCTGTGTACCAGCGATGGACGAAGGCACACCAATAGCAGCGTCACTGGAAGCGCTAATGATAGGATCGGTCAGATCGTTAGTCGGAGCTTCGACTGAGACACAAGACATGGTTTGCCCGTTGGAATCCATGTCCTTGTCACTATCGCTAATGATCTCTTGGTTAAGAGGACAACGGGAGGCTTGGGGTGGGTCGGCTCTTTGCTTGCCTTTACCTAGGTATCCTGCACCCAGGGTTAGGGTTACCAATCGCTCATGGTTCATAAGATGGACGCACAATATGACTTCGTAGAATGTTCGAGCCGATAGTAACAACTGTGCTGCAAGCATCTGATTCAAGGTTTCAGGAGACTCTTTAATTAGAGTATACATGGTACTAATGAGTGCTGTACCATATTCCGATGTGTGTTCTGAGAGGTATTCGCTGTAAATTTCCTCGATGATCTCGAAAAGAAAACTTGGTGTGTATCTTCCAGAGAACATATCAAGACCTAGTATACTTACCACTATATGCAAGTCCACGACGATGATTGCATTACTGGCCTTCGTGAACTTTGTAATTGTAGCATGCGATGTCGTGCTATCAGCTCTGTCATCACGATGTACCTCGAAGGCATTCAACATGTTTTACATTAGTGTACTCAAATAGAAACAGCGTTGTACACCCACAGGTTACAATCTGTTTCCCAATATAATGCGAGATTCTTGCAATGTTTGAACCTGGCAGAGCAGCTGTGCGGCAAGTCTACGTCCGCTTAGGACTTTATGCGGATTTAGTGTCAGGACGCAAGTACCTAGGTAATGTTCATTCACTACCACCAACATCAGGTTACATTCTGAAGGCTTTCGCAGTATCATGCAGTGACATGCCAATCACGTGGCTACTGCAAAAACCTCCAGGCTACATGTCAATCACATCGCATGAACATTATAAGCAGGAATATAACATCTCAGCACAAACAAAGTGATTAACTAGAGTACAGAAGTCTGAAGATGTTCCATGTTTGAAGCATCCAAACTGAGAGGCTACCTTGAACGCCTGTAGAGTACATCGTCACACACAGCCAAAAATGTATGAACCCTCCGCTCGCTTTTGCATGTCCCACCAATCATCAATATATAATGTGAAGAGGTATCCTAACTACCCTTATTTGTAGAACAGGTATCTCATCTTCAAGTCGGACAGCGTCTAGAAGGCGCGAAAGCTTCCAGTTGGCTGCGGGGCGATGCCGTTAGCCTGTCCGTATGGACCTGGTGAAGGAGCCGAAGTCATCGGACCCTGTGTAAGCATGAGACGCGAGCCCAAGATCGGAGTGTCTTCCTCCTTCTTCTGTTGCGAGACTTCGCGGGTCTTGCGCTCCTCATTGTCCTTCTTGAGCATCTCAATGGCGGCCGTCTGTTGAGAAATGAGGTTGATCATGTATGGCTGGTAAATAGTTAGTGATCTGCAAGAAGAAAGGGGTAAGAGGAGATACATACCATAGTGAAGTCGTGGAGACCGTTACGCCATGACATCTCGAGGATGATGTCAGGGCGAAGAAGGTCGTAGCAAGCGTATAGCATACCAACATAGCACTCACGGCTGCCAATGTCGACGAACTAAGTTGCGGGTTAGTGATGCATTGAGAAACAGCAGGGTACAACTTACGTAGCGGAGCAGATCCTCAACAACGTCCGACTTGCCAGACATAGCTGAGGTCTCGATAGCGTCCTTGAAAAGCTTGTCTTGCTTGGAAAGAGTGATGGACTTCTCCCATCGCTTGTTCTTGCGGTAGATGTCGGCAGCGATTTGACGGAAGAAGACCAGGTCATGCTTCTCCAGACGCTGGGCAAGATCGACAGGATCGTAGTTGTCGTAGTTGTTGACCGAGTCTCGGAGTGTCTTGTAGTCCTCTTCTTCGATCAGAAGATCGTTAAGGGCATTGTTGACCTCACGCTTGTTCTGCGACTGGACGTTGAGAAGGAAAGGCTTGATCAAAGGAATGTTGTCAGACTTGACGAACATGCGGACAACACGGTTGACATCGATCCGGGGAGTCAGTGCCTGAAGGAGATCGGTCAAAAGAGTCGGTTGCTCTTCAAGGTAGAAGCCCAGAGCCCGGTAGTAGATCTCGACGTTGGTAGCCTTGGTGATGGTGTCCTTGAATGCTTGGTGCTCCCAGGCATCTGCGGCACGCTCCATCATGGCAAGAGCAGCGTTGTCCCACTCATCGTAGTGGACATACAAAAAGATCAGCTCCGGCCACAAGTGAGCCTCCTCAGTCGCACGGATGAGCTTTGGAATATTAATTCGGCCTAGGACGATTGTTAGTCACATGCGATGAAGAGAGCTTGAATGTGACTTACTCCAGAAGAGACGGAGATGTTCCATGACACGCTCGGGGTGGTATTTGGCAAGAGCCTCGCCTAGAGAAGTGAACATTCCCATATGCGCTGGAACGGCACAGTTAGCATTTCGTACACATTGTAGTTATTAGAGGGGTTGTACTTACCGCGTTCCAGACCGAGGCCAGCTTCAAGCAAGCTAATCAATTCATCGAAGTAACCGTTACGCTCGTACTGCTTGACAAGATCGGTGAGCTCTTCGGCGTGGACGATCAGGTTGAGACCACAGATCTGGGCAAGACGGAACTCCTTCTTTGCAACGCAAGCCTCGTTAACCTGCTTCCAGACTTTGATGGAGTTTGCCTTCCTAGCACATTCAACGGCAGCTTGGTAGTCTTCCAGATGTACGAGGGTGGTTGCAAGCTTAGCCCAGTTGGAGATGCTGGTGAAGAAAATCTTTGCTGCCTCATGGTAGCCCTCTTCATAAGCCTTGTCACCTGAGGCTTCGACATCGGCAACGTTGGTTGCACGGAGGAAGTCCTCGAGCTCGGCTAGTTGGTTGGTACGAGCGAAGCAGAAAGCCAAGGCGGTATCAATGGGTACCTCACGAAGGGTCTTGCGAGCCATCCTCAAGAACTTGATCAAGTCCTCGTCTTTACCAGCATGTGTAGCAATCTCAATGACCTCCAAGTAGTTGGATGCGTCTCCGGCGCGGATGTAAGACTCAATCGAGTCTGTAACACGAAGGCCATCCAACTGTGCCTTGGCAACTCTGCTCCACACTTCTGGCGTGTCAACCCTATCGGCATACTCATATGCCCGATCGATTGAGACAATGTGTTCAATGAGGACATTAGCAGCCTCAACGTGGTTTTCTTGCTTCTTGAAGATTTCAAAGGCCTCGTCATACATGCCAACCTCAATACACTGTTGAGCAATATCCTCGGGTGTATATTGGTCGAGCTGTTGGATGTAGTTCATGACTCTGCCACGATCAGACTTGCAGGCAGTGAGCATAAGCAAGTTCTGGAGGGACGGGTTATCGCTGAAAGTAGAAGGCTCCAATATAATCTTCTCGAGCAAGTCGATGAGCTCAGCAGGCATGTCACCAGTGATGAAGGCCTTGACAGCGACGGAGACCTTGTCTGGGTCGGTGGACGAAGGAACAGCATACGAAGTGACTTGGTCAACGAGCGATCGGCGGTGCAAGTTGTTCGGGCTCAGAACGTAGTCCCAGACCTCAGAATCAGCGCGCTCCAAGAGGTAACGTGCTTGGGCCTTGAACATGGCGTTCTCGTTGGTGATGTTGATGAGCTCGAGATCATTCTGTCCCTTGCTGTAGGCAATGAACGCCAAGTTAGGATCACGCTTCTCGCAGTACTTTCCAACAGTGAGGGTATCGTATTGGTCGTTCTCCTTCAAGAACTTCTCTGGGTTGTTGTTGGAGTCGATGTAGATCTTAGCCAAGGCGTTGTAGACAGCTTGTTGCTGGTTGCCACTCGCCAATGTCTGCTCCAAGAATGGCAGAAGAAGCTTCAATCGGTTTCGCGATTCTACCTCGGCAACCAACTCGTCGATTGGAATCGAAGATGGTGTCACTGAAGCGAGAAGCCCCTTGATGATGCTTTCGTCGCAATCCACATCAAGAAGACCGCCGATGACGGCAGGTGTCCTAGCAGGGTTGACTCTCTGGACGTACACTTCGATAGACTTGAATTGCTGCTTCTTGTAGAGGTAGAGCACCAGGTCGTGTACAAAGTTGAAACGATCGCAAATGATGATGAGTGGCAGTTGTTCCGTGAGGTTGGCTTCCTTCAAAAAGTTCTTGGTCTTCTCGGCAGGAATGACAGGACTCTCTCGGCAGATACGCTCGACTTCGTTAAGTTGGCCCATGGTCGTCGCCGCCTCGACGTACTTAAAGTGAACGTCAGGGTCTTCGCTGACGTTGACAATGGAGCCCAGGAAGAAGTACAGACCCTCTGCGGTGCGATGCTTCTCAAGGAGATCAATGATCTTGGTAGCGCCGAGCAGGTCTGAGTACTTCTGGGCAATACGAATGACGGCCTGCAAGTTTTGTCGAATGTTCGTGGTCAGCATAGCATCCAAGCACTCAAGCGAGAGCTCTACTGTGAGTTGACCAAAGTAGTTGATCAGCCATTCCTCTGGAAGCTTATCGGTTTGAACAATGATACGCCTAATGGCAGCCGGGTCATCGTTGTGTTCCAAAGCGCGAGTGAGCAAGCCAGCGTTCTCGCAGAGCTGGGCAATGCGCGCCTTGTCGTAATGGTGGAACATCTCATTGCCGAGAATAGCGTCTGCAACCTGGGGAGCATTAAGCAAGTTCATCTCGAGCAGCTTGGTTTGCATATGGCCCTCTTCTGGTAGATCGTTGGAGAGAACGTCCAGAAGGAAGGCGGTCGCCTGTTGGATCATGCCCTGGGACTGGAAGATGTCGACAACGCGGTCGATGCTGATCAGTGGGCCGCCTTCGTTCTTCGCTAACTGGGAAGCAAACTCGGCGCCCTTTTCTGGGGATATGCGGACCACTGCGATATGTTAGTGGACTTCACGTCAAAGCTAGACTGATACAAGGACTGACCATGCTGAAGCAAGACGTTGTAATCAGGCGTGTAGCCGGCGCCGTTGCAGTATTGCAAGATCAGATCGTAGTGACCAAGCTCAGCGAGTGCTGCAACGACCTTTTGAGATACGT